GCGGAGCTAAAGCCTTCTTATACGGATACGCCAGCGCTGCGTCAATTGTCGGAGTATGCGCGTCCACACGTCGCCTTCAGGTGAGCGTCGAATGCTTGATAGAGTGTTTCACTATTTGTTGAGTCTTCTTTAGTTGATTATCTATTATTTTTGTTATGTATTGAGATTATTTGTAGTCGTCGATTATCGCGTTTGTATTGTAATAATTTCCATTTCGATTTCAGTCCTGTTGAGCAGATGGTGCCTTATCATCATCCAATGGGCCCCATGTATAGCAGAGAGAGGTACAGTACCTAGTACAAGCCTGCCAAAATCCTCATCTCAAAGCACACACCAACACCCACCCATACACACACCAACCATGCTAACCTACATAATTGACGCTTATTTAAACGCACGTTCAAATTTATGCATTAGTTTCTAATCCATTTGCTGCTTATTTGCCATTTGTCTGACCTTAACCAAAATCCTCGACAAGATATTAAACCCATTTCTGCTTCTCCAAATTGTAGGCCTTTACTCATGCTTCCAACCTTGACTAATTGCAGAGAATTGGAGGAGATTAAGAATGCACAAGCGGCTGCCGCAAGTCAATCGCGACTGGATCCACACTGGATGGAATATTACAGACGGTAAGACTAGCTATTCGCATAATCCTTTCGAGAAATGCAACTCACCCTCCTCTTCTATTCGTTACAGTGGCATACATCCCTCGCAGTTTCCGCTATATGCGAATCCGGCTATATCGCAAATGGAACGCGAACGTCTGGGCATACCGCCGCCGCATCATGTTGGCATGGATCCGGGCGAGCATATGGTGCGTATAATTTGCATGGCCATCTCATCTTGTAAACCAAACTTGATCTCGAAATCCACTCATATTCACAAAATCAATCGTATTTGGAAAAAACAAAGCAAAACAAACACTTTTTAAACAAAACGAATTCAAAAACATCTACGCATCAATCACTTGTCCACTTGTTTACTTGTCAGCTCAATTAACCAACGATTTAATTAATCAAATATAATTATAATAATGCTATAAATTTACGTACATCATGTGTCCATGTCCAAGCACGTGTGATAACACATTATCTATTGCAATTTATCGCGCGCTTCACCTGGAAGAGAGACACGTCTATTTCTCTCTTCCACTCTCTAACCACATTTGTTTATCATCCAGTCGGTGCTAACCCGCATTATCCACAATTTCACATTTCGCATATTCCCGCTCTTCCCACTTACCAAATGTCGCATCTATGTTGCAAGCAGGCTCTCCATTTATCTCTCAGGCAGCACACCTGGCTCTTTTGAAACTATCAACGATATTCAATAATTTTCAGATACGATTGACGAGAGAATATCATGCACACTCTCATACTCATTTACATTTGCCTTTGCATCCACAGCCGCAACCACCGGAGGCCGGTTTCCAACTGCCACGTGAGTTTGTATACCCGCTGCGTTGATCAAATCACAAACGAAACTCATTATCTCTGTGTTCTCCCCTTTCTCTCTTTCTCTGAACTTAGCGAATGTTGGGCAATATCCGCGTCCAAATATGCTTATACCTAGGGAGCCGCACTCGGACGTTTTGCTGAGGATGTCTTATGCAGATCAACTACAGGTTTCCCAAATCCCATATTAATATTCTTAACTGATTAATTACATATATACAGTATTTACAGGCCGCCGAGTTTCAACGTCAATCGCTGCACGATCAATACTTTAGGTGAGTTGCATTTAACATCCATTAGGGTGGACTAAATTGAGAACAACAACAAAAACAACAGTCATCAACAGTCAGTCATTCGGCTCATTTGTTCATCTGTATTTCTGTGACTATGACTTTTGCTTATTGTTTTTTATTGAAATTATCGTTATCATTTTGTGTTTGTGTGTATATATTTTGTATCTGTATCACGCCCACCTTTCTATTTCTATCCCAATACAGACAACGGCCCAGATAAGTGGACCAGCCAGGCAGAAGGCAGAATCCCAAAAGCAACTGAACAAAGAAAATACTCATGGCCCGGCCGGCTGTGAGGAAAATGCTTTGTGTGATTTTTGTGTTCAAACGTTTACATTTTGCTTTTCAACAAGAACAACTATAACAACAACAACAAATGAAAAAGATCAACATTCGTATTTTATATATCAATAGCAATGGTCCCTTTATATGTATATCGTGTTTCCAAGCTATATATATATAAATAGCAACTTTAAGTTGTGCAACGCTTTGTCCAGTTTTTATGTAAAAAGTTAGTAAACGTTTTAATTTTTCATATCCATAACATATATGCATACCACATATATCATCTAGATACACTGCAATCCTTGTCTTAACCTATTATCTGTAATATATATTTACTTTGTTCGACAGAAATCAACTACGTTAAGTGTGCTCCAACTGGACGGCTGAGACGATCCACTTATGAACAAAGAGGGAATCGCAAATTAGAAATCAAATGAAACCAACTGACGAAACAAGCAAAGAAAACATGATGGTCGCAATATTTTATAAGTATCGTCTTTATAGTGTATAGTGTTAAAAATTCTAAACAAAAATTGATAGAGAAGCGTGTTAATTATCGTTTAAGCTTACGAGAATTGATTAAGGCAAATGGAACAAACTTAGCACACAAATTTTTAAGGTTTTCAACTGCGGAATGTGCAAAACATTTGTGCAGACTATAGCAGCACTTCGATAATACCCTATGACTAAACACTAAGCTCTATTTCAAATCAAATTAATTAGACTTTGCAATTAGCTAAAAATAACAGAGCAAAACCAAAATGCATCAACAAAAAACCACAACTTGCTATTTTAGTATATATAGAATGTACATATGTTGGCACGACATGGTTTAAATTGAATGGTTATATTGTACAAGAAATTGGAAGTTAAGCCAAGTGCACTTTGTGCCAATCAACCACTGTCAGTCAATATATATATATATACATGTATATGAAGAATGTACAAAGGGCTTTATAGACAACTGCAACTGCAACTGCAACTATTTTGACATCTCATACGCTGAGAATATGATTGTATATGTAATTTAAACTTAATGTACTTCCAGCCACAATTGAACTATATGTATTTTGTAGTGTTAGTGCGCTTATTGCTGCTTAGTTTTGATTTTTATAGTAATCTTTTTATAATATGTTTTGGCTAGCTTGGCTTACTTACTACTCATTAATTTATTATTTTATTTGGCTTAACTATAGTATTATATTATCAAAAAAAAAAAAAAAAACAAGCAAAAACCAGAAACAAAAAAGGAAAAGCAACAAAAATGTGTTTTGTATAAAGTTTCATAACAAAAAGAAAAAGAAAAAACAACAAAAAAAACTAGTTCATAAGTAAAAATTTAAAATGTGTGAGTTTTCAAAAATTCGTAAAGCCCCCAAATGCAATATATATATATATATATTTAAATATATATATATATATGTGTCAGCATGAGCGTTTGTAGCAGCTGCAATATTTTGAGTGCTTAATTTATATTATTAGTAATTTATACACAATATATATATATATATATATATATATATATATATATTAATTTCATGAGCAGCATGCATTAAAACAAATAAATAAATCTATATTTCATTAACAAAGAAAAAGAAAGGATTTATATTAACTTTAAGAGCAACGCAAAACACAAAAGCAAAAACACTAAACAAATGTAATATTAATGCGTGCATAATACTATAAACAAATTACATATTTTTAAATACAATTTTTTATTTCACATTTTGAATATACACATTATATATATATAAATATACATATACAGCGTTTATTGTAGAGTTTTGCGAGCATATTTAAACAAAAAAAAAAAAAAACAAAAGCTGAAAACCAAGCACACAAACAAAATAAATATGAGCCACATCATTTGGCGCAGTTTAAGTTTTAAGATTGTAAAGTAAAAAATCCAGGCGTACATATTTATATATACATATACAAAATGAAAGAAATAAGAAACAAAATGCAGCTATATATGCATATGCTAAATATATATATATATATATATATATTTCACACAAAACAATTCGATGATAATGATAAAACAAAATAAATTATTAAAAACCTGTAAAAACTAAGTAAAGCAAAATAAAATTAGTTACATTAGTTACAAATCCAAGCAACGTTTATTTCATAAATTAACAAGGAAACATACATCTCTATAATGCGGTCAAATAAATAATTTACAGAAAAAAGCTCATTAATTAAAATTAAAATTAATTATTTATTCAGTTTGATTTTTTGTTGAACGTTGACGTCAGATTTTTGAAGCTTGGTTTTTTTTTTAATGTGCACCGATTCGCTAGAAGTCGTGATTCATAGCTAACAAAGGTTGGCCGCCTACTTTTTTAATCAGAACTCATTAAAATGGCTAAAGGAAATATATAACGAAAGTATAGAAGTATTATACATATATATATTAGTAAATGTTGCGTTTCTGTAACCTATAAGAGCTAGCGACTTAACTATGTTCGCATTTGCTATTGCGTTATCGGTTACTGCAGTCATTTACATGAAATCGATATCGCTACTCAGTATAGGGTATTGCCTAGTCGGCGACTTTCGTCCAAGACACCATTGTAAGTACACCTGTGTTTTCTACATAAGAGTTCAGCTTTAATGAGCCATATTTCAGAACTTTCCTTAAAGTGAAAATTACTTTGTCCCATTCATCAATCGTCGAACATATTTATGTCTGCGCTAATCAATCATGCAATACTGTGTTGATGATAGAATACTTTTAGTTTTTTTTTATACACATGCAACCCATGATACCCTAACGTAGTCAGTGTGTAATGCTGGCCTAGTTTATATAGATACTTATCTAAATCAATACTTAACTGAATTTTCTTTAAAACAAAATAGATAAATTGCAAAGCTCCGATGACAATAGATAACAGACAGTGTGAGTTGTTGTGGTTTTTTATTTATTTATTGATAGACACGTATACGAAGATACACATATAAATATAGAGCTTACTTCTAGATAGAGATAGAGAGCGTGAGCTCGTAAATCACATGGTGCAGTGGCATTATAATATCAAATCAAGGCATGGAAATTGAATGAAAGAGCATAAATAACTTATAATTACGAATGCTCACTAGACGCTCAGATGCGGCGTGTAAGAGTGCGTGTGTGCGTGTGAGTGTATTCATGAATAATCAATCAAATAAATAGAATCGTTGCCATGTGCGCTGCATAAATTTTGAATAAGCCTTCTGTGTTAACTCTTAATACTTAAAGCATTTGCTTAAATGGGCATGTGGGCGGGGCATTACTGTGCTCTTGTTTTAGACACGTGCTTGGCGTATTGGGTCAAGTTCCCAGTTCATCCTTGACTCATTCTCTGCCCGAATATTTAAATTGTCGGCACACAAAGCCGCGCCGCGGTAGCGCCAAATTACGGGGCTTAATTAAAATGTTGAGCATGCGAGTGCGATGCGATTTAATACAAAACATTTGCGCCATTAAATGCCAGCCCAGACCAGCCCGGCCCAGCGCCACACGGCTCTAATTAAAAGCCACTAAAATGCCGTCCTTGACAAGCTTAACAACAGGCAGCCGATGCCAGCGAACAGTGCGCTGAATGCGCTGCACGCCAGGCCGTCAGCTGCATTATCCGCATCCACGAAAGGTATTGAGCTAAAAGGCATGGTTAGACTGTTAATGGAGGGCTCATTGCGGTAAACGATACGATCGTTGAGCGGCTGGGTGGGACGGAAATTGTTCTTCAAATGATCATCATTGGCGGTCAGCAGACGAAAGTGGCTTAGCTGTTGGGGTGACATGGGTATAATCAGTCAGATGTATATATATGATATATTTTGTGCCTAACCTGATACTCCGATATGTCGATGGGCTGAGTGAAATCTATCCAAACCACCTTCTCGGCGCATGGCGGCGTTGTCAGCGAGCCTATGTAGGAGTAATAGTTATAAAGGTCCGTGCCTATAAACTTGAGCAAAGGCAAAGGATTCTTCAGGTTCGCAGACTGGCCCTTGCGATCGATCGACCGCAGCAACTCGGCAAATTCATCATAATTGGGATTATTTGAGTCTGTAATCTAAGCAAAGAACGTTTAGCTGAAAACCATTGCATGTCGCCACAGCCGAACTACCTTGAAGAAAAATGCCAATACGGCGATGCCATGATCCTGGTCCAAGGCGCTTTGAAAGTCCGGAAATTCCAGGCTGCGCATAACCACATGCAGCTCGGCGGGATAGGCGTGATTGTCAATCAGATCCTCGCTGCCCACAGTGTCGTTCTCGCCCCAGTGGAAATGGAACTGTTCGAATTGGTAGAAGGACATGCGCTCCAAGGGGCCGCCCTTCATGCGCGGCACCTTGCCCTTGTCGAAGTCCATGGTGACCAGCACAGTGTGTCCATTGTTGGTCAAATTGACGCGCTTGGGCGTAACATCAAGGTTCTCGAAGGTAAATTCCTCATACGTCTTATACTTCACATTCAGCACGTTGATATTAATGGGACTTTGGAACTTGCCGCTGCACTTCTGATAGTCGTCGCCCCAATGCTCCGGGCCATGCTGTCCTCTGTAGCCAAAATCTTGAGACCAGGCCGCAGCAGCTGCAATAATTGAGACGAGTTAAGAGTCGGCAGACTTGCTAATTGGCTGGACAAGCGGAGACGTTGATACCGTTTGATCACGCTGACAACGCGACAAATTGACAAATATTTAATTATTTTTGATACTATTTTTGGGCAGCTCAGGGATAGCTAAAAATACCCCGATTGTTAACCTCAATTGAACGTTCAAATAAATTTAAGTTTCGTTGTTGATCTTTTGCATTTGCCGAATGAGCAGTCGTACACTGTGCAGCGTGCAAGTTTGTCTTGGAAATTAAATTGGATTTGAACTATATGTATATAGTTATTTTGTGATCAGAATGAGCAGATCAAGATAAGTCTTTCATCTGAACTAAGATTTGTACATGCATCCATATGCTGCCTACTATCAGGCATCAGCTTAAGTGAGGTTTCTAGATTAAACTTGTCATAGTAAATCTGCTCCAGTTCATGCAAAACTGTTTAACTATAATAAAAGCGAAAATTTCCAAAGATTCTAGATTAGTAGTTTAGTGACTTGAATGTCAGAGAAATCTAATTAATCAATCACTTAAGTCGTATACCTTGAACATATATACCTGTAAATTGTTATATATAAACTGAGCTTAGATGAGTTCTCATCAAGATGTCTAAGCCACACATGACTTGGAAACAAAACACAGTATCATCTAGAGTAATCTCGTTAAACACTCACTTCAAATTCAGCACACTAACTGTGTTGTTCAGTGATGGCTGACAGAGAGCGCGACCTATTGGCAGGAACATTGTGTAACAAGTGTCACGGCCAAGACTGTTGCTTCAATTAGCAGTGATTAAGTAACAATTATCGAGTCGACTAGTATTTACTACACCGCATTATACGAATGCAGTGCACTTTCCTGAACTATCTCAATGGAAAGGTTTGCTGATCTATTCAGCAGCAGCAACAACAACAACAGATGCTTTAATTGTCTTCTTCTGTTCGTCACGTTTGTTGCTTTGCAATTGTCGACAGCTGAAATTGCATTATTTGATTTATATTTTTTATTGAAACTTTAACTGCAAAGCGGAATTTACGTTTATTACCATATGCCATTAACAAAGTATATAATTAACCAAGTCGAATTTTTAAATTTCAAACTTAACACGCAAAACCAAAAAAAAAGAAACAAAAACGAAATTTTGTGTTCAAGTAATTGTTGCGCTTATTTCCATTTCCACTGCTATTTCCATTCTATTTCTGTAATTGGATAACTGCTTTAAGCTGGCTGCCATTGTTTGGCTAACAAATACGCTCATGATTTGCCTCGCACTTCCGGCATTGTCCAGGGTATGACCAGTCCGTGGACACGTCAACTGTTTACTGTTTACTGTTGAGCCATCAAAAGAAAACCTGGTAAGCTTAATTACAATTTAGATTTATGTGTTTGTCTGCTTTTTGCAAATAGATGGCCAACGCCCGGTAGAAACGTGTTTCTTTTGTCTTCTATGCCCGCTCAGCAAGTGAAACGGGAGTATTGTATTAATTAGGAAAATGTGGCAAGCATGCTCTGGCGAATACTTTGTTAATATTCCCACTAGGCACAAGGCCTTTGAATCCATTGAATCTCAAGACTCGTCCTGTATATTTATGTGCGACTTGTCATCAAAGAGCGACTAGTTAAATTGCTAACAACTGTATCTATAAGCGTTTCAAGGCTAGTAGTGGGAAGATTGTATTAAAATTAATCTGATCTGCAGTTGTTTAAGAAAATCTGCTCACATTTTGGGCATGCCTTCATCTGTCTGGAATAATTTTAGAGCTCCTATACGAAATTTGTGACTAGTGTATAGCTGTTATCTATCTATCGATCCGTACCGAATCGTAAAACATTTATAACTTTTCTTCCTTAACTTTCCACAGTCTTCCAGCTACTTTCAGCAAGTTTTTCCATTGAAATTAGATAAATTCCGATCTAATAAACAGACTTAATCTCACTAAAATTTTTTTGCTTTTAAATGCACGTTGCTGCCTCCAAGGCGCAAGCGAGCATCGTGCAGTCGACTACAGCCAACTTTCACTGCTCTTGCACTCGTTTGCTATATTTGTCGATTGCGGCAAAGAGATAATTTGAACAAGTTTTTGAACTTGTAACGCGTCCTTGACACGAGCCTGTTCTAACCATACATAAATTAGAAATAAATGCCTGCTAATGTGTTTTATTTGAAATAATCTTGGCGCAGTTTAACTCACTCACACTTAACGGATTTAGCTGTGCGAAACAGCTCTAAAAATTGTTTAAATATTTGCAAATGAATCAAACTTCGTCTGCTGATAATGAGCCGAGCGTTATGTGCATTTGCCTAATAATAGTAGTCAGCGTCTTATTTAACACTAGTAAAACAATCGTTTCAGCACCAGAAGCGAACACTTGTCATTTTTAAACAATTGCTTAGCTCACCAAAGGTCAAGATCAAAGGCCACCAAACACTTTGTTGACTCCACATTTTTTTTTCTTGCGCACTGGAAGTGAATAACTTGAGCCCTTAAGCTTCGACCACTGACACGGCACACTGTCACACTTTCGCACTGTCAATTTGTCAGGCGGCTAATTTGTCAGTCTGTCAAGCGCTGTTCACCCGCCAAATGCGGTCGCACAACTGCGGTTAGGGCCCGACTGCCGCCGAAACTTATATCAACTTCTCTAAAGGCAGTTGTTGGTTTTTTATACTCAATGCGCTGCGATTCGAAACTTAAATCGGCCCTCGCTAATATTGATTCAATACATTGTCAGCGGTCGCCCGGCGTGATGACGTGCATACAATATTGTGGAGAACAACATTTCTAAGGGCTAATCAACAGACGAAGCTATTTAAAGGGTATTTTACCATGCACGACATATTTACTTTGGAATTCTTTAAGACTTTTTAACGATCCTCACAATACGGTTGCCCAGTCAACATCTCCATCAGCGAAGCATAGAAAAACACGAAATGATGAAAACATTAATGTCGCTGACTCATCAGTTGAAAAAAACCCAAGACGCCGTTCTCGTTCGTTGAGCAACTCTGTGACTTCAATGGATCTTACTCTGCATCCATATCAGATCCAAACAATACAAAAGCTGAAGGCACTTCACTATTTTAAGCTTTACATATTCGTCGATTGGCGACGCAGTAATTTGGTGATCTCAGAGAAATCATTAAAAGTGAAATTGCTGACGTATGGATCAATTTACAAACTTTGTTCTTAGTGGAAAAAACACTTTTCTTCACACATTACCAAAAAAACCGCTTTAGTAAAAATCTCACCTCTCAAATTAAATAATAACGGCTTCACCTTACAAATTTTTGTTGAATTCGCTGAGTTCTGATTGGCTGAGCGGCTGTCTGTTAAGGCTCGTTAATTAGCTGCTAATCAAATGTTATGAGACTGATATTAACAGACTGATATTAAATAGTCTACTGTTAAGTTCAGCGAAAGTTTATGAATGTTAAAGTTCTTTAAAATGTTAAACTCCAATAGTAACAGTGCTATGTTAAGTGCGCAAATGTTAACAGCGAAAGTTTATGCATGCTCTTAAAAATGTTAAGCTTTACTCTAACATAGTCATAATAAATGAGCAACTGTTAAGTTCGGCAATTGACAGCAAAAGTTTATGACTTTTAATCTATAGCAGTTCTGTTAGACTAACAGAGTTATGATAAGTGCGCAGCTATTGACAGTGGATATTTATCTCTGAGAGCTGATCTGCAAAGCCGAGCGCATTTAATCAGATTGGAACGTGTACTCTTATCTCAAGCTATAATCATTAAAGTTTTTGCATTACTTACGTTGATTGCATTGCGTTTATCTTGAACAGCAAATTGTAGAGCAAATGAGAATTGGAATTGACAGCACGCCCCACATTTGTCCACCTTTAGTCACATTGCATTGCCCCAATGTCGATGGCAACGCGTTTTTCCCTTGTATTTAACAACTTGTTTGCATTATCGTAAGCCTCAATCCCCCAATGGTTCTGTTTGGTTATAAAAAATGCATTATTCGAGTGAGTTTGGCTCTGATATGGCGTCAATCAATATGCATGCTCATTAAGAGCTTTACAATGATTCACAAAGGTAACAAATTTTCGGAGAATTTCTGGCTTACTATAAATCAAATTAAGGAAATGTCGTCAGTTGAGCCACTGACTCATTAAGTTGGGATATACCAAATTTTTAAACTTTTTGGCAATGGAAATTTTTTTTTTTTGTTTTTTTGTCATTTCACTTTTTGGCAGCAAACTATTTGTATAACTTGTTTATGTAACTATTTAGTAAGATCTACGCGCGTAGCAGATATGAATGCCAACTTCAAAACAAACGCATAATTGTTTGGCGCACATGAATCAATACAGTATATAAGCGAGTAATACCCATTCAAAACTTAAGCTTGGATAAGAAGCTCGATATGCAATTGATATAACTTTTTAAACTCATGAGTTACTGCTATCGATGGGCATTAAAATATGACAAGTTTCAACTTTCTCTATTTATGGCAAAAGTCTCATCAAACTCTGACTTCATTTAATGTATGTGGCATGTAGAATGGGTAGGGTATATTAGGCTCGCTCTAGCTACAAATTGTTGTAATATAATATATATTCCCAGTGTAGGATTACAAAACTAAACCAGTCTAAGCGACTGTTTCATTGGATGAACTACCTTAACTTATCTGAATAAAGGAACTGAACTGATTTTGATGCTATTCATAAGCTTTTATTATATGCTAATTATACTTAAGAGCACTTTAGGCTTAATTATTAGAAGCTTTATATATAATATATACAAATTCGAGGAAGACCTCAAACAACGTTCGACAAATTTGAATCAAAGTCGACCTCAAGCAGCTTTTTCCAGCGAAATTTGGTTTCTAGCTAACTCACACACATCTTTGGCAATTTGCAATGATTTAAGTCAATTGAAGTGTATAGCAAACACATTTACTTCCTTTTCAGTTGTATGCAGTATAAGCTGCCAGTTCGCTTCAATCGCAGCTCCTGGAAGTATGCAATATAATTTTTACATTTGTTAATTCATTGCGAGCTTCTGCGAATATCTGTTTGCCTGTTGCATTCAAGTTGAAAGGTTGGGAAAAAGTTATCATATCAATGTAGCTTAATAAAAGACCTGACTGCACGTATCGATGTTGCTTCACGCAGCACCTTTTGTTGGTACAAATAATTAAGTCGAATAAAAAATTTTAAAAAAATCTGCCCTTTCCTTATTTATACGCATATTTTCAGCGAAAACAAGCTACACTTGAATATTCAAATTTGTATTAAATGCGAGGCGAACAGAAATTTTAAAGATTGAGCACGAATTTAACACATGTTAAATTTCGTTGTATACTTTTAGGAGCCAATATTTATAGGCGTGGAAATTGCTGTGAAGAGTTACATATGTTCCTAGGCCAAACCTGCTGCCTATAATTATCAAAAAATGTGTGAGTCAGCTCGAAGCCATTTAATATATCGTTCGTATGTCAGAGAAAATTTAACTGGAAAAGGAAATGTTGAGGGTGAAACTCGAGCTCACCGCCTCTAGGTTTATGAAATGCTGGCAAAGCACTTACACTTATCTGACATATTATGAACGAAGTCCGCGGAGACGTTCGTTCGTTCATACCTTCACAGATTGTTCGTGGCACTAATTACTTTGTGCGGTTAATGGCCATGCCAGGGCGAAGTGTAAGTGCTTTCTAAAAAGCTTTGAGTTTAACTCAAATAATAGTAAACAGCACACACATACACACACATATATCTGTGTGTGTGTATGTATTTGTGAATATATGTAATAAGTGTGTTTCACTTTTAATTTAGTGACTTTCTGAGCAGCAGGCATCGCGTTTATATGGCAGCAGATTAACTGTGCTAAGCTCTTCATACAATCGCCCACATTTTCGCTTTGATTTCATGTTAGAGCAGCTTAAAAGCATGAGCAACAACAATTATGTTAAGCCTAAGCTCTTAGCATATGCCGAGCTACCCATTGTATGAGGGGGTGGGGTGGCAAGGGAGGGTGTGTGACGAAAAGACGATGAACGAACAAGAGGCAATTGGCAATGAATGCTGGATGTGAATGAGATAGAAGTAAGCATTCGTCTTTCATTTTTAAGAGGTATCCCGTAGTCAGTCAATGCACACTTCAATCGGCTGTTAATTAAAGTTGCAGCAGCCAATAATTGCGGTGCGCTTTGCTCAATTGACACAGATTGCATTGATGATGCGAAAGTATAACAGCAAACAGCAAAGGCAAACAGATTCGTGTTTGAGCTTTACTCGTATGGACGTGATATTGTTAATTGCGTCAATAAGTTATACCAAATATAATCAGAAGGGAAATTTTAAATATTTTGTGCATTCAAATGTAAATTTCCAACTGCAAATGGCGACAGGCGAAAAGGATGACAGCAACCAAAGGACTGCGGCTGCCTGATGACACGCGCACGTCCCGACCATAAACTGTAAATGAAATACGAGTAACAATGCCCTGATTTACCAACATATGAGTCTAATCCGGCCAATAACAACGGCGAAGGGGTCACAAGTCAAGGGCAGGCCGGCAGGCAGTTGTTGGACTGAATCATCAGCAGAGCCAATTTAATTGCTTGACTCAGCTGAGGCGAGCTCTGAAACTGATGGGAACTGTTATGCACTGCTTATTGAGTTACAAGCTTAAGCTACAGTCGTATACATTAAAGTAACTGCCTCAGCGAACAGTGCTTTTCCTATGCCTAACTGTCATATTCTTGTCATATGTTAAGTAATTGGCTTTGTCAGGCTGTCACACTTAAGCCGCATTTGGGCAGGTTATCTGCAATGCATGTTGACAAGAAAACATTGTTCTTATCAGGACTTAATTTAAGAGAGCTTACAGAGAGCATAGCAGCCAGCAGCCGAGAGTTACTCTCTTATTCTCTCTCTTGATGTCTCTTGCAGTCGTCGACTGGCACAGCAGCCCACGCAGAGCAACAATTTTCATTGATAAAAATGCTGGCAGCTGTGTCCTGTGCCTCAGTCGAACGCGAGCCTTGCCACTGGCTGTTACTGTCCGTTGCTGCCAGCAGCCGACAGCCCAACTTTTGGCGCCTTAATCGCTCTAGTCAAACAGACAAACAGTTATCAATTATGATCCTGTGTGCGCCGCTTGTCAGTTGAGTTATTTGCGCGGATTTCAATTAAGATTGCGTATACGCCGCGTTTAAAAGTAAATATTTCATGACATCCACTGAAAACATTTTCACAAATTTATAATCAAAAATATATTTGGTGCGCCCAATTGGCGCCAAGTTTTACCGATAAAAATAAAAACTTTGCTGTGCGCTAAGGGCGAAAATTACAAGAGGAAATCTGAACGAGATTTGCTGCTGACAGAGGTAAATAGTTTCAAAACACCAACAACTCGCCACTGGACCCAAGCGAAACCATAAATAAAAATGCAACCGAATAGTGCAGAAAGCGGCAAACTTATCGCGAAACTTTCCCAAAAGATAAGCCACAGCGTACTTATATTTCAAAAGTTTCTCTCAGCTACAAATTGGTCAAGTGCCGTGTAAGAAATATTTAATTTATTTTTGAAAAAATGTCACAATTTGTTGTCAATTTGTCAATATTATGCATTATACATTAAAAAAATGGCATATATGAATAGCAATTAAGTTATTCTAGCGAAAAGGACATTTTGCTGATTGAGGGTCTGATTGGGATAACTGATGAAATCATAGTTCGTTTCTTGGCAATCAGGCGACATTCAGCTCATGTTTTACTTTTAGTTCAGCGACTTCAGCAAATCAAACGAAATTTTCTCTTCTTATTTCATATTAGTCGCAGTAAACATTGTGAAGTTGAATCAATTGAAATGTTCGCTGCGAGTACATTCGGAATTCGCAAGACCAAAGCCAAAAGCTAATGAAAATAGAGGACTCTACGACTCTTTTGTTTTGCCTGACACACCTGAGTGGCCGTTGGATGTTGGAGGTTGTGCTTTGTAGCATTTATCAAGTTCTTGTAAACAAGTCCTTGCCAACTGCATTAAGTGGCAGGCCGGCTCACTAGCTCGAGCACATTTTGGCCTTCAAGAATGCACGCTGGAGCACTGTCTGGGGCGCACTTGGCCAGCATATGCAGAGCTTAGAGCACACACTCAAGCTGCGACATGTGCGCCCATTGGCAATTGTACAACATTCATACGAGCTTATATAGTTAGTTATGTTAAAGCTCAGACAACGGCTAACATTAAATCCGGCCATGCACAGCATTTAGGGCTTTGAGTGCCTGTTGATGGCGCTGAACACAATATCTATACTTTGGCCTTGAGCCACACGTTTAAGTGGACCGCAAAAAATACAAAAGCAAAAAAAACACATTGCATTTAAGACTTGGCAGCTCGTCGGCGGCGGCGGCTGCTGTCGCTGATGACTGCAAAAATTTGCCGCACATAAGTGAAAACTAGTAAAAATGAGAACTGGCGCGAGCATAAATCAATACCAAGTTTGTTGGCGAGGGGGTTACGACTGTAGTACAGTGAAATCGTGGCATTTTACATGCGGCCAACCTTAGCTAAGGCTTAGCTCGACATAACTTACTTGACACCCATACACACACCTACACACACGCGCAGATACAGCCATCCCCACACAGACACATTTTCACGCTTTGCCATTTCCCGGTAGTGTAAATTCAATTTAAAGCGTAAATTTAGTCTTTATAAATCATTTACACTCGCCTATTATATTTACCTCTGTTGGTTTTTTATTTTAAAGCCGTATTCAAACAGTTTAGAATGTTGCAGTCGAGCGCCCTCGACTGCATATTGCTGATTCAAGGATCAAAAACAGTTGTAGCGTTTTTACAAAATGTCAAGTGGGAGTCTGCAGTTACTTAACTTGTGTAGATATATTTATATATTTGTATGTATGTCAAGTCTATAGCTTGACACTTACAGCAAACCAATATACTCTTCATTCAGCTCGCGAGCGAGTATTATACAGAAAAGGCTGACTGAAAACTTTTCTCTCATTTCATATTTGAAAACAGTTGCCCAGTGCAGCTGTCAGTCCTTTGAGGTGCTGGCATTAATCAACGTATTTTGTCATGCAGAATTTTACAAAATTTTTTTGTTAATTTAAAGCGCTGGCCAAAACCTTCTGCATTTTCTCCGTATTTCATAATGCATAAATGATGTTGGTAAAACCTGACAGCACGTTAGCAAAAATGGGTAGAAATAATCCACAGAGTCCATGGTAAATTGTTGAGAATTTGGCTTTAAACTGGGACTTATTTTAAATTTTAAATTTATTATTGCAGCTTGTTGATAGTTTTATAAAACCATTTTTTTATTTAAATTAATAATTCAGGAATTCAAGCTAAAAGGTCAAACATATTTTTTGTTCCCAAAGTTTAATTTAATATTGTTTTGCAAATAAATTCAATTTATGAAAGCAATTCCCGAGGAATGCAGCCAAATCGAACAATGTGAAAAAGCACACACACATACAAAAACGCAGCCAAAAAGAAATGTAAAATGTTACTCAAAAAATAACAGTAATTGTTGCATGCTTTTAGGCGTGCGTTCTGTAATTTCCGCCGAGTCACTTTTTTTAATTCTGTTTCACTTTTTGCTGGCAAAGGAGCAAGTGGCGCGTAATTGTTGATGCAGGCGCAGCGACACCACCACCACCGCCACCAGAGTGGTTAGTGGTGCAAATCTAACATATTCTTATGTAACTAAGTGCAGCTGAGAGACGCTTTTCCTGTTTCTGATTGGTTGAGTAATCATGTTCTGGTTGTGATTCTAGTCACATTTTTAAGGCAAACGATTCGCGGAATACAATGGCCGAAGGTCGTCAAATAAACTGGTGAATTTACCAAATCAAACTAAAGGGAAGAACCTAATGAACAGACGTGCCTGCTTCGCTTTGTATAAGGGGATTATCTCACAAAATCGACTAAGAGCGTCATGAGACTCGGCACAATGGGCAAAGGACTTGAATTACCATGGACATTTGAATGGGTCCATTGGGTGGCTAGCATATCGAAAATCTAGCCGTATGCAATTTCAATAGAAATGCATTTTCCATGTTAAGCTCACGCTCAATAGACTGCCAGCCCAGCTGCCAAGACAAGAAAGTATTTGTTATCCTTTGCAATGCCAATTAACGTAATTGATGCGTATGAACTAATGAAGAAGGTTCACACTAGCCAACAATTGCACATTGTTTGCGAAAGACAAGCTTAAGAAAGCAATTCAAGATAATTTTCCTTACATTAACAATTGCGTGGGAAGCGTTTGAATGGATTAAGTATTCAATTGAATTGTTGTTTCAATACTCAAATTGATTTTCAGACAAACTCCAAGTTAATTCATTCGACATTCTCATTATCACTTCTCGATGCAGGCAGCACTGCAAAACAAATTTAAGCACAGCCAACTTCAAGTCGCTCCTGCAATATTTTATTAATCACTCTGCGCAGCCAACTTCAAGTCGATCGATGCTACGAATTTGTAGTGCTGTAAAAGATTGAACATATCGATAACATGGCTGAAAACGATACACACTAGAAAGCTATTGACTACACATGCCACAACGGCATAATTCCTGTTTAATTGGAATTTTCTCCCTTTGCATGTCATAACAATAATTAATTGGTTCATTGACAGAACGGTTTTTGTTGCTGCGAATGCTGCACAGTCAACGCCACAAAGAGCCTGACGCCATTTGAATTTTGCGCGAAACAAATTCCACTTTGATGGCCAAACAAAAGCGTGCCAAAATGCAAGGACTGCTTGCCAGCGCACTGGCTATTGACTAGGACCAATTAGTGCAGTAATATGCTTACATTACAATTTGAATAATAGCTGAGTACAAGTTGCTGACAAAAGACATCTATTAGATGCTTAGTCCTACTTAGAGAGTTGTGCGCAAATGTACAACGATGACTTTATAGTGGAATGTCCTCCGGCTACTTCTACTTCTAGATTGTTGGTTTCGCCCCAGCTGTTGCCCTTTTCAATTGCTCAAGAAAGTTTTGCTGCTGGCACCAACAAGAAGTTGCCCCGACAGCAACTTGAAGAGCTGCTTGTTGTTTGAGTTGCTGTTTGTGTTGTCAAGCACTTGCGGCACCCAAACATCTGGGAGACTATTGCAGTCCGACTGCCAGTTACTTAATTAGCAATTAAATAGCTTGAGATTTACATAATCTCAGAGGCAGCCCTCGTTTCTGACACACGTGCCAACTGGGCGAACCGCTCGCCTACCATAAGCCAACCTCAAGGTCTAGACTAGAGGCGTCAATTGATTTTCCTGCTCACCTGCATCTGCACAATGTCCATCAAAAGCTTTAACATTAAGCTAGCATAATTTATGGATATATCCAGTTGTTTTGCATGCCTAAATTGTTTATAACCAGAGCACAGATTGTGCCGACAAGATATTTAGTCGCATAACAAGACAATGACAAATGATTTCAAATTAAATCTTATGTCTTTGTGAGCATATGCAAATGTCGTATCCAAACTAAGTTGAGATTTCCGCGATGAAAGTGCAGCAAGTGACGCTTAATCATATTAATTTGATAAGTGAAAATGTTCCTTGCCGCCTTTGAAACTAAGGCCGCAAGTACTTTGTGCAAGCTGCTCAACAATGTTATTATTTTTCATGCAGCTTTTAATAAGTTTCGCTATTTATTGCGCTTGTGGGCCAGACTACAGAAAGTTAAATAAAACAGCGTGCGGAGCTGAATATACTAGATCGTAAATGTGTAAGTTTAAATTTGAGAACTCAGCCCCAGTCGAAATTCATTCGAATTGAATTTAAATAAAATACAAACGCGAAACTTTAGTGCTAAAGGTAAAACTGAAATCGAAAATCAACAAACTTCAGTGGCTTTTCAATGCGCTTTCGCTTAAGCACAAAGAAACCGATTGAAAAGTTGGTCAATATAATCAGAAAATAGCTCGCTTAAGATTAACTGTACTTTTATTTGTCCCGTTTTAGTGCTGGCAGTTGATGGAAGCCAACAAGCGATGCGAGCGCTGCAGCTGCGTCAATTGCAGTAATTAAGCGAATGACAAAATAAGGCGAATTATTCAGCTGAAGAGACAAAGCGGCAAGTCACGGCCACAAGCATCGCGCATCGCGCAGCACGTATACGCAGCGTGGCACATGCAAAATTTAATAGCAGCATCAGCGGCAGCATCAGTGACTGCATCAACCTGCTGCCCGTAGAAAGCACTTCAAAAATTTTGGCAAAAAGGCCAGCAAGATAAATAGTGAAACAGACACGATAAAAGACACAGCATGGAGACCATTATGTCAACATTGCCCACGCTGACAGCCGACGATGGCAGCCTGTGGATAGCGAGCGCCCTCAGCGAGCTGCTGGCCAGCGGCGGCAATAGCAGCAGCAGCGCCGACGATGGCACACAGAATGCAACGCTTGTCGCTGCCGCAACAACAGCAGCTGCAGCTGCCGCAGCAGCTGTAAATGCTTCAACAGCGAGCACGGCAAATGCTAGCAAAGTTCATGACAAGCATCCGCATGGTGTGAATGACAGCGATACAGATCTGAGGTGAGTCTATATTGCGGGTGTGTGTGTGTGAACGTGTAAATGAGTTCTTTTGAACTCCATTAAAGGATTGATGGCTCTACAGTTGGCTGGGGCAAGCAGGTAGCTACGTAGATACCCTATATACAGTTTATATCTATATATATTTGATATTGATAACAATCCGAAACAAACTATATATATGAATGCCTAAACAACTAGCTGAGACATAGATAATGCTGAAGCTGCCTCCTGCAGCTGCATAGAATCATATGAACTATTTTGTAGTGCTCGCAAGTACAGGGTGTCGATGCACATGTCAGCTTGTAAGTTCAGACATTCGATTTGCAGATCTTAAATAATTTATGCATATAGACACAGTGCGAGATAGAGAGCACGAGAGAAAAGCTCTTAATATTTGCATATTTACTTCGTTTTGCAGCTCATATCCCGGCTATATACACTATCGGGACAAATACGATCTGACCTACATAGCAAAGGTGAATCCATTTTGGCTGCAGTTCGAGCCGCCTGACACCAGCTCCTTCTACATCATGGCCGGCCTCTATTGCCTAATCTCTGTGGTGGGCTGCTTCGGCAATGCGTTCGTCATCTTTATGTTTGGTAGCCGCAAGTCGCTGCGCACGCCGGCTAACATACTGGTCATGAATCTGGCCATATGTGATTTCCTGATGCTGGTCAAGTGCCCCATTGCCATTTACAACAACATCCAGGAGGGCCCAGCGCTAGGCGATGCAGGTAAGTGCTCGTGGCCAGCCCACAATGGCATCGACTACAAACTGCTTCACGTCTCCACACGCAGCCTGTCGTCTCTATGGATTTGTGGGTGGCCTGAGTGGCACCTGTGCCATCGGCACTCTGACGGCCATTGCCCTGGATCGCTATAATGTGGTGGTGCATCCGTTGCAGCCACTGCGCCGCTACTCCCGCCTGCGCTCCTATCTGATCATAATTGCCATCTGGTGCTACAGCTTTCTGTTTGCCGTGATGCCCGCCCTGGACGTCGGCTTGTCGGTGTACGTGCCGGAGGGTTTTCTGACCACCTGCAGCTTTGACTATCTCAACAAGGAGACGCCTGCACGCATCTTCATGGCGCTCTTCTTTGTGGCCGCCTACTGTATACCGCTAACCTCGATTATCTACTCCTACTTCTATATACTCAAGGTGGTTTTCACAGCGAATCGCATTCAGTCGAGCAAGGACAAGGCCAAGACCGAGCAGAAGCTTACATTTATTGTGGCAGCCATTATAGGTTTGTGGTTCATTGCCTGGTCGCCCTATGCCATTGTCGCCATGATGGGCGTCTTTGGCCAGGAGCAGCATATCACGCCGCTGGGCTCCATGATACCCGCGCTCTTCTGCAAAACGGCTGCCTGCGTGGATCCCTATCTGTACGCGGCCACACATCCCAGATTTCGTGTTGAGGTGCGTATGCTGATGTATGGACGCGGCGTGCTAAGACGCGTGTCCACCACTCGCTCCTCCTATATGACACGTTCACGCTCCTCCTTCACGCATCGGCTGCGTACGTCAAGCGGCGATGGCGAGAATCGCGCCGAGCCCTACATGCTCAACAACAATCTGATGATGGTGCCCGAGGAGACGGAGGAGAACGAGGAGATAATCGTTGTGGCCGAGATCAACCATTCCACCTCCACGGCCATGGAGCAGAGTAAGTTTTAAAGAGGCAGACTATGCGGACAGCTTACCATATCAATTGGTTGTCTGGATGAGCCAGAACTTAGCCATATTTTTTTATCAGAGAGAGCAGGAGGAACAGATCGAAGTATTTTAAGGAACAGAGCTTACAAAATGCAAGTATTATTTTTATTTTTGTAATAAATTTTATGCTTATAGTCGTATATTCCCTTTGAGAGACTTCTTCTACTTGTTGCAAATAAATAAATATGCTTAAAAATATAATCAAACAAAAATGTATATAAGGACTTTGCTTGACTCCAGTTCTAAGGAAAATTGTAATGAGATACATGCCCACTGAAGTACGCACCAGAGCGATGGCAGAGCTCATGGTAGAAAGTAATTGTAGCCAGCTTACATATATATTCATATGCCCTATCACATGTATATATATATATATATACAACTTGGACGCGAACATAATACCATATTGCTGTGGGCAACGAAGTGATAGAGGTCTTGTTAAGTGAGCTTAACTGATATGCTTATAGGTATTTAGAAAAGTGAGGCCTACCCTTAGCAGGCTCTCAATAAGACTAGTTTAATAAGTATCTATTCTCTGTATCAGGTGGGCAAACCAAAATGTATCTTGTGGATACTTGCACGATTTGACACGCAACATCAGGGAAAGACATACTCAACACAAATTACATACTTCAAATGTACATACACAAATACATATATAAATAAATATATATATATATATATATAAATATATTTATATATGTATGTATATATAAATACATATATAAATATATATATATATATATATATATATATATATATATATATATATTTATATATATATACAGTTAGCTGTTCATGTGTCGTAATGAGTTTGAATCCGATTATTACAGCAAAGGCAACTCAAATTTTACGAAACATGTCAATGCATTAACATTAACAAGTATTCACTTGGCAAATAATTTATTTATATAAATATTTAATTATAAAAACTGCAAATAGCTAAAAAAATATATAAAATATGCAATTTGTTTCATTAAGCTTATTAAATGTATAATTAGGATTATGCAAATGTGTTAAGGCATTACAAATACAATGTGAATGTGAATTAAATATTATTATTATGCAAAATGTCTCAGCTAAATTTGAACCTTGACCGAGGCCTGACGGAGTACTTGTACCTAACAACAAACAAAAGCTATCAAAATATGAGCAGAAATATGAGAAATAGTTGTAAGCAGCAATATCATACGAATTTATACTCTTTAAGTGCTTTGTGCTTAAATCTGTGTATATATATATAGATGTCAACTTGTATATATAAGTATATATTAGAGCAATATCCTTTTTGTGGTTCCGAACAAAACCGAAACACAGAACAATAGGCAAATATGCTAAGAGTGACCTGAAAAAGATTGTAATTAGAAAGAGTAAGGCAGAATGAACGTTTAGTCGATGTCTAAATACACTATCCGAGCTTTATGCATTTTAATTGTAAGCCCAGAAAATATAGTTATAAAAACTGAAAGTTAAATCCTATGACAGTTAAACCAAAATTTAAATTTTCACCAAAATATGGCAAATGTTTTTAATACAGAGAAACCTCAAACAAAAAATAACATACAGAAACCATTGTCAGCAGAGCATGAGTGCATTGTATAAATTTCCTGCAAAGAACAATGGAACGACACAGCTACATCGAATGTTTGCGGCAACTGTCCACAAGCACACAAGAAAAAACAATAAAAAATTAAAAGGAAAAGCTAAACAAAGCCAAAAAGAAACAAAAATAAAAGGAAAAATATCTAATTAGCTTATTTTAAATTGCACTCTGACTGTACTCAAGTTTGTATTTAACTTGTAGCAAAGCTAATATGTATTCATATAAAATGCTTAACCTCCACTTGTACTTAATTGTTTTTGAATGTTTTAAATAAATGTCTCTCTTTGTTACATATAAAAATTAGAGCAAGATATAACTTTGCATCTTCTAACTTATAGCAATTCGCAGCTTTAATTTGTCTGTGCAGTTTGTTAGTTAAGTTAGTAAAATAATTAATTAAGGCAAATAAGCTTGAGGCACATTCCTTAAGCCAGTTGTCTGACATTTTGACCAAAGGCGCGCACATAATAATAAACGGCAACAGGTGCACAGATTGCCCAGGGCAATAAATAAAAATAATATAGTTTTAATATGGCTTCAACAAGCATACACTCACGCACACATATGCAAAACATACACACACGTGTGTCTGGAGAGAAGGATGGCCTGACCGGCAGCAACAGTGCGTATACTTTATTTTTTCAACTAACAGACGCCGCATGCAATTTCCTTCACAGTAAATGCAAAATTCCCAGTATTTTTCTGACACTCGCGAGTATAAAAGCCCTAACGAGGGTGTCAACAGCTGAGAGCTGCAAACCGTTATTTTTGTTCCTATAACACATTGGCCAGACAAAGACAACAACAACAACAAGAACAACGACGCCGGCGCCGGCGCTAGCGTTGGCAATGCCCATGCCGATGCCGATGCCAATGCCGATGCCGATGCCGACGTTCGCCTAGTCGTCGTCGTCGTCGGCGTTGACGTCGCAGCAGAAGAGCAGAATTTCACACGCAGCCAGCATAACAAAAATTTCAGTCGGCTTTTTCACGACGCGCTCGCGGTTTGTTTGTTTCAACAGATTTTTACACCGATTTCAAAGTGCATTAGCTGAAAAAGAAAAATCAAAGTAGAAAATCTTATTCGATTTTTCTTAATTTTCAATCAAAAATAAATTGTGAAAAAACCCCATCATGTTGCATATGTTGCAGCGCAACACAATGGCCAAAAGAGCATAAAGTGTAAGGCTGAAATCTGAACGAGCGTGGGTGTGGGTGTGAATGTGGGTGTTTCCATTCAAAGATTAAGCTGCTGCGTGTGAACGCCTTGCTTAACCCAACTAAATATTATGGCAACTTAATTTTCTTTCGATTTTTCACCGCCTGTATGTACCCAGCGCGTTTGCCGTTGTACCATTTGGCACTATTTACTAGACATTTAACCGGCTGCGTTGTCTGCGTCAGCGGCAGCGTCCTCTCGGCTGGTTCATTGTACTTGCGCGCAACTAACGAGGATGCAGCGACGAGCAGCTGAAGGCAATTCGCAGTCAACAACACAGACTTGACAGAGCCAATTGTAGTGGGTGTGCACAGCAGGCAGGCAGGTGTGTGTGTGGGTGTCTGGTAGGAGACGTGATATCGTGTTTGCAGCCAAAATAAATATTGACCAAACAAATATAGGCAATTGCTCGATATATATATGAGTATTGCCAACGATTTATCCCAACATAAACGTCAACTCAGCACACACACACACACACGCACACATGCATGCATAGCAGTTAAATACATGCTCATTAGGTGTGCGTGCAAGGTAACGTGCTCAGCGCCCATTATGCCGTGCACTGAGCAAGAGACACGCGGCGTATGCGTATTCTATGATGATTGCATATCGAAAGTCACTTTGAGGCCCGCCCTTAAATGTTATGCATATGTATATCAAAACACTTTTATGGCTGCCCAAAAGCTACCGTAAACAACAGCAACAACAACAATGATAGCAACAAGCCGCCAGCTCTGGCGCCGAGACAAAGCGTCTGCCGCTCTTCAACTAAACGACAACAGCAACAACAACAACAACAGCTGGCAACGACAATTGAAGTAGACACAAATGAGCATGCAAGGAACACAACTCAATGGCAAAGAGCGACACACCCAGACAGGCAGCCGGCAACAATGGTGGGGGTCTAAGGCCCAGCGGGTTGCCGAGTGTTAGACTGGCATTACACATACGACGCGTTGCCTGTGCGACAATGCAAGTCAAGTGAAGGTGCGAGCACTGTTGACGGTTTTACTGTCACTGCCATAATTGTTGTTGCTGGAGCTGCTGCTGCTGCTGCTGCTGCTGCTGCTGCTGCTGCTGTTGCCGCCAGTGTAGGTGTTTGTTTGCTTAAAGTCCTCAGACGAATCGCGACATTTGCTGCTGCACGCGATATTTGGCGGGGCGTCTGTGTGTGCGCTCTGTAGACATTTGATTTTATGCGCCTTTCGTAAGTAGCGCAAAGTTTAATTTGATGACTTGGCAAACAAAAAAGGCGCGAATAACCACTCGAGCTTGATATCCGGCGAGCCTTTGAGGGCAACAACTAGCTGAAAGCAATTGTGGCTTTATGTAGTTCTTATGATATAAATATTTGTGCATGTGTGTGGGTGTGGGAGTGGGTGGAGGTGTGGGTGTGGGTGTGTGGGTGTGGGTGTGGATGTGTGTATGGGTGTGTGTGTATATAACTTGATGTGAAGTTAGTATTCTGTTTGCTGCTGCTATTTAAATCATTTTTAGCTTTTTATTTTTGCATATTTTTTATTTTTTATTTTTTAATACATTTTTTGTTCAAAAATTTATAAAAATATTTGACTAATTTAGCAGGTTTCTCAGCTAAATCTGAGGCAGTTTAACAAGCCTCAAACTAGCAAAAAATATAAAGATTTGGCAAGACCTTAAAGTCTATAAGTAGGTAGTCTAATACATTTCCTTCTTAGTAACAAATATGAATATATTTAAATAAACTTATAATTATAGAGCTTAAATATTCTTAGGCACTTATGGAAACCTCTTCCAGCTGCCTTTCTATATAAAGCAGGAGAAAACTAGTTTACTAAACAATAAATCTGTTTAGCCTACCATAAGCTATATCTAGTATATATAATAAATATTTGTATATCAATCTACATATGAATCATATCATGCAGCTCAAAAGTTTATCTACTCACCTGCACTCTAATCAGTACAATGTTTATCTAGTTGTAATCAGCAAAGAGTAATCTGTTTCAATACAGCAAATAAAATCAAGTATACGTATCTATAAATTCATGCCAGCAGTTCAACTCGAGCCATTCTATGGCTATACTATCTCTCTCTCACTCAGTCTATATATATAAATATTTATCTAAATGCGCTTCATTGGTTTCATTTTATTCATTTACATATTGTGGCATAATCAAGTCCTATCGAACTGCATCGAATTCGATTTGAACTGATTGCATATTCTTCTGCTTTACTTTTGCGCTTGGGCAACTTCTCGTACTCGATTTAAATTTTTTCCCGATTTCTATATAAGTTAAACACGCGTAAAAAGTTTTCATTGAGGAACTATGACGTCAATGTGCACGTTGCGTTTGTTTTTATTATTTGTTTTTATTAAACTGTGGCGCAACAGAACAGAATGAAACGAAATGAACGCAAAAAAAGCCGTGGAATGAAAAATCAAATCGAAATACTTTTTCACTGGCAGCTGCAGATTCAGATACGGCATTAATTAAACCGACGCAGCACTTGAAAGGGGCAGCAGCAGAGGCTGCTGGCTGCCGGCTGCCGGCTCTTCTCGCATATCGTTGCCTCAACTAGTTGCCACACTCCTCGGACCACCTTCTGCCCACTGTGCGGCACTAATGACCGCCCGTTTTGGCCCTCTTTTTCTACATTTGTATTTTGGCAGCCATGCCAGGAGTTGGCTGCTGCGTCCGGGCTGCATGGCTGCATGGCTGCCTGGCTGCCTGCCTAGTTGGCTGTCTTTTCTGCTCTGACAACGCATGAATTTATAATTGCTTCATTCCCTGCAACAGGCTCTGTTACATCCATTCACTTCACACGACTCACTCGTTGTCATGTGCCAAAAAAAGGGACTCTTAGAGTATATATTTTTATACTATTTACTTATGCATATAGATATTCTGCAACAATTGAAATATTGCTGATTGGTAACACTGCACAGCAGAAGAATTGCATGCAAGACTCAACTGAAGTATATCAGCAACCAATCTTAAACCTTTGTCTAATGAGGCCTCAATGAAAGCAAATAACTTAAACTATGTGCATATTTCCCATCAAGCCAAGTGACCTCAAATTCATGCTGTCTGCAAAAAAGTGGCATCAAAATCTGATCACTTCACTCTTGTGGCACTAACTAAATTTGCATCTTGTTGCACAGTGTAATTGGGCATGGCTGTTGTGTTTATTTTCATAAATAGAACAAATAATTTGGCAATGCAAATATTAACAAATTTATGAAAGTATTTCAGCAAATGCCACACACAAATCGAAGCTATAAATAGGAGATAGCTCTGAGATGCTGCAATAACTAGGGTATGTGTAGGGTATAACTGGGTTGTGACTATGGAATGACTGCTAGAGTAGAGACAGGGTATGACTAGGACACAGCTAGGATATGACTAAGGCATGACTAGGGTGGGAGACACTAGAGCATAGATAGCATAGATGACCAGGGTTTAACTAGAGTGTGACTAAGGCAATACGTTTTCAAGCGTCGTGCCGATGGTGTGAATATCATCAATTTGGGCAAAGAGTAGAGATAGGATATTGCTAGGGTATAACTGGAGTATGATCAGGGTGTCATACAAAGGGGTACGAATAGGCTATAAATAGAGTATAACTAGGGTACAGCTTGAGCATAACTAGAACTGGGTTCTAGCTAGAGAATAACGAAAGTGTGATAAGAAGACACTAAGATTTGGCTACCTGATTATATTCTTAATCAACTCGCAATTTGAGTTTGACTCAAGAAGTTAAGAAGGGCGGCTGCCCATGTCCAGAGTAAATTGTGTCTGAACCTCGATTCATTCAGGTAAAAATATGACGGCTATAAAGTAACCAATGCAAATGAAGCTAACTAAAGTAGATGAGTTGCTATCTATTCAAACATCGTGCGCTTCTGGCTCAATTAATTCTATAACTATTTAGCTGTCCTCTAATAGACTAGGAATTTTTTAATTTCCTTTAGCAAGTTGAAAGTTGATTAAAATCAGTTTAATGCAGCAGATTCAAATTGTATAAAAAAATACACTTGCTTTGCTTAACTTCAAGTTAAAAATGTCCTGTGCTGCACTCCATAGAGCAGAGCTGCTCACAACAATTTACTAATGTTAAAACTGTGCGTGTACAGCAATTAAAAGTGGATATTTTTTACACAAACTTTGCTTGCAGCTTAGCTGTTAGACGATGGACTAATGAACAGCCGGCTGGGAGTGCAAGTAAGCCAGAGAGACAGACCGCCAGTCAGCCAGACAGCCTGCCAGCCAGACAGACAGCTTGTCACGCAGTCAAGCTACGTAGCCGGACGCACGCAGCAGCTTAGCGGCTTTTATTGGCATTGACAGAGGAGAGGAGCGAGGCCAAAGGATGTTTGATGTCACCTGGCTGCCCACCGCCTGCGGCTCATTGGCGCCCGCATTGATACCGCCGGCTCACATAGTCATCCTTTGGTACTTTTGGGAGAATTATGCACGCTATGTGGATAGGCACTTCTGTACGTGCTCCTGCTGGGACACCGTATTCAAGGGCCCCTACGAGTCGGGAGTGGCCGCCTACAAGCACATGTACTTCAATGCGACGCCGAACAGCTTCAAGATGTGGATACTCACCGTATTTGCGGTAATTGCACTTTACGAGTGCATCAAGCGACTTATCGCATTGATCCTGCAGCAGCGTGTGCGCTACTCAATGCTCCTGCTCTTCCTGCTCTCCATCTTCTCGCACTACTATGCCTGGTGGGCGTACATCAACTACTACAACGACGATTACTACAATCAATGGAATCACCAACTTTTCTTCACGGTAAGCCAACGGAATATTACCACACTTTTTACAACTAGCTCCGGTCAGCCATGTGTGCTTGTCGGTCAGACAAGTGGCCCGCACGGACCGGCCAGGCCAGGCCAGCACGGGTTATTCATAATTTATTAGCAAAGTTCTGAAACAAATAAATTTCGATGCTTAAAACTTGCACAATATGCGCCGGTGTTCGTGTTGAGCTCCACTTTCCATCCATGCTTCACGTGCGCCACTTCTAAACTTTGTAGGCGCTGCCCAGCTCAGCCATTGAATAGCCACTGCTCTAACTATATATAAATATATATATCTGTATATATGTATATATAGTATATACAGTCCGCTTGCTCGTACACAAATTTACTAAATGCTGCAAAGTTTTCAAGTGCCGCAAAATGGCAACTTGCAAGAGTTGGCCGAGGTTAATGAGCATTGCCAATCGAGCAGTTGCACAAAAGTGTACTTAACGCCAAAAGCTCAGTTGGGCATAAAAAGGCAACAAGTAGAGAGAACAAATGTCAGCATGGCTTCAACAGGCACAAAACAATGCATAGAAATGCAATAGAACTCACAACTTTTGAAGTATAGAAAACTTTCTCATACATGAACTAAATTTTAGACCAAAGCCAAACTAGACAGAAACTTAAGTAATTTGGAATAGTTGTTCGTAAAAGCATTCAAATTGTAGATAAGCGGTCTCTATGTCAACTATATGATATAGTATTCTATATGATATAGTGTCGGAATCGGGTACATTGAAAGCTTTCCTTTCTTCAGCTTCAGTCGCATGCTTGGTCTAAAAAACCCTTAATTTATAAGAGTTCCTATAAGCTCAGCAATCGCATCCGTAAGCCTTCACAATCTAACATCGCCAATCTATCTCACAGATAACGGAGCTGCTCTCCACCGTGCTGGTGATGCACCTGGCCAGCACAACGAATGTGGTCAAGCCGAAGAAGGTGTTTTGCATTGTGGGCATTGCGCTGCTGCACATTCTGGCCGGGAGCTTCGATCAGTTCTTCATGAATGTGGTGCGTGGCGAGGGTGCTGCGCATCAGGTGGTGCGTGACATTGGCTTTATGCTGCCGGATCTGTTGCACCTGGTCATACCGCTGTGGCTGCTGCGGCGAGCGCGCAGTGAGAGCTTCACAACGCGACCCTTCTACCGGGATCGTAAGCTGCATCGGGATATTGTGGCCATGCTGTGCCTGGTCTCGATGCTGTTTGTGCTCTGCACGATTTTGTGAGAACGAATCCTGTTGGGCGCCTACGAGGAGGCGCACGGCAAGATAAAGCCCGCTCAGGATGCTGCCGTGCTGCTGCTCAATCGCTATCGCATGCTGGCCAACAGCAATGTGCACAACTAGTGGACGATGGCCGGGGCCGGACTGCATCAGGATGGACTGTGGACAATATGCTGCACTTGTCAGTAAGTGTGTGGGGGGCGCTGCCACGCCCCTCGGCTTGTAGTTTTTTGTGCTTTATGTTTTGCAATTTACGATTTGTGATAGTTTTTCAAGAGAAGAGAAGAGAGAGGGAGAGAGATTTTTGGGATTAGGGCACACAGAATATCGAAGCATATATATATATATATATATATACATATATATACAAGTATCAACTAAATACTTATCCAAGTACATAATCAATACAGCAATCTGTTGACTTCCATTTAGAGACGTTGGAACATATCCATATAACCGCAGTAGGCATTACTAGAACAAATATCACGAGTCAGCGAATCGGCTGAGGTAAACCCAATAATGATTAGATATTCTAGAAACAACGAATATGTAATTAGCGTAAGCTCTGGCTAGGCTTGAACTGTTAGCAATTTGGAAGTTTAGTGAAGACCTCAACAACTTTTGGCCAAGTATTGCATATTTATATATAGATATATAGATATACCCACCCAGTGTTATTCTATCTTAAATTTAGATGCAATTTAGACTGTTGTTGGATAATACAAATAGCATTATTATATATATACACACACACACATACACTCACACAAGTGAATTCGAAATATTCCAGTATCGTAGTAGAAACCAAAAATCCTGTAGTAATCAAAAAATAGCGTTAAACGATATTGTTAAACATACACGACGATATATATTATATGAAATATCGAATAGCCTCTAAATATGTATACACCCATAAACACACAAACCTTTACACACACACATACATATACATATATATATATTTTAGTATACAACATTATATTAAATAAACATTAAGAGACTGAAAAAGCAAAACGAAACAAATCAATTTTAGTTTTCATAGACAAACTGAAAAGGTGAGTTCATAAAACATTTTCTTTGTATTTATATATATATATATAATTAATTTTTATTGAAATTTGAAAAATCTTTATTATGTCAGTGTAAACACACAGTGTATATAGTACTAGTCATATATACATACATATATGCTAAGGTATATTTCAAATATGCAATTGCATTTTCCTAAAATACAATTTCGTTTTTCTCGTTTTGTTTAAAACTTAGCACAAAAAGTCATTCATTATATTCGCTTTGTGTAAATTAGAAGACATTTGAAATGATTTACATAATATGTAGAGAGACAGAGAAAACTATAACGTATTAAATATAATGGAATGTCGTTGGTGTAGTTCTGCACGTCTGTCCAGATATATATAAGTAGATATATATGTGGGCATACAATGCATAAATGTAATTGGCTGGCTGACAACTTAAAATACAATTGTAACTTAATTTGATAAACAATTTGTGTATATATATAAAAAAAAGTCAACTAAACAAAATTGGACGGTTTTGTGATGACTATTGAGTGGTCAAAAGTACAAGGTAAAATAAAAGTAATATTTCATTGGCCATTAAACAAAATCAAAACATAATCAAAAATCAGCAACCAATTGTTAACCAAATTCAAAGCAAATGCATTGCTCAAAATAATTGGCAGTGTGTGCGAAGAGGGTTAAAAAGCCTTGGATTCAATTACCAATTGTAATTTATCATATTCGTTTCCTAATTCGTTTGATTTTGTGTATGTTTCTTTCTTTTACATATATTTTGTGTGCTCAGTTGTGGTTTTTGTTTAAGGCGATTGATTTTCAGAGATTGCTGTAGCTTGTCTGTTATTAGATGAAAATCTCTGTACGCTTTCTGACCTGATGGCCAGTGGTTGAATGCAGTACAGCATCATCCGGATCATCGGCACCATCGGCGCCATGATCCTCGTGCGTCAGATAATCGCCCTTGTGCCGATGCAAATAGCGACCAATCAAGAAGAACATCAAGAGCAGCAATAGGAAGAGTATGACGAGCAGGACTGCAAGTTAAGAGCAAAGTATTACAAGAGGAACCGAATCGCTTATCCAAATCAAACTTACATGCCAGCAGCACAGCGTTGACCTCATTGTAAGCCTTGCGCAACTTCTCTTCATCCACCAGTGGTGGCGGCCTAGTCTCTATTTCAATGGGCGGATGCGTCACCGGCTCAACGCCGCAAAAGTCTTCAGTCAATTGAGCTGGAAGAAAAGTCAAAAATTGTAGCCAGCAGTTGAGTTTGGCGAACTAAACTAAACTTACTGCCAAGCGATTTGACATTATTGGGCGGATTCTGTTGGAACATCAGTTTCAGTGGATAAATATCATCGAACTGCACACGCGATACACAGCCCACAAAACCGTCGGTCATTGAAGTGTTTTTGCCAATGAACATGTACTGAATGTTATTGAACTGTGCATCCGCTGACTCCTTGATGTCAAAGTGATACTCCACAGGTTCGTAGTTATCTACATGCAGCACCACCGTCGAGCCGCTGTTCTTACGCATAAAGCGCACATCATGATACTGGCCCAAACCGAAATGCTTTTTAGGGAATATAATTTCCTGACGCTCAAAGCCAAAGTCAAAGACGCAGCGCAAATGACCTGCAAAAGTTAAACAAATGGACATTAAAACATATTCGATTAATCATATTATATTATATATAATTACCGGAATTGGAAATTTGTATAGTCAGATATTCGCCAGTCAGGTTTGAAGAGAAACCCAGCAGGAAGCCCTTGGGTATGGTTGTTGTGAAACCCACGCGAATGTTCTCTGCAATTGTGGAACGGAATGAGCCCTCAAACTCGTAACGAATAATAGAGCTGGAACGCAAATTGACGCCAATCTCTGCAAAAGTGGAACAAGCCATTAGTTAAGACAGAAACAGTTAAAACGGAGACAAAAGTACCGTCTGCGCAAATGGGTCCCTTGAACGCACTCCAGCGGCAATCACAGCTGTAGCCATCGTAGCGTTCAATGCAGGTGCCGTTGTTGAGGCAAGGACTCGATTCGCAGCGTCCCACGCAGCCAGTGCTAATGCCATAGAGACCACGCATTGAATACTGTTTCAAGTCCACCATCTTGCCATTGAGTAAAAGCGCACGTATGCAGCCCACGTAGCCATCACGGTACTCAGTTGTGGAGCCAATTACCAAGTCAGAAGTCAGGTGAAGAGCACGCACAGGGCCTGGTGGTTCGCGCACTTCAGCCTTTATTGAGCCATCAACGACTAGACGAGCTTCCTTTCTATTGCGCTCCACGCTCACCGTGTGCCAGTTGTTGTCGTTCAGATGATAGCTGGTGCCCACATTCACTCCTAGTGGACCGCTGCCTGCTTGATACTGGAATTGCAATTTATTGCCGCCGTTCAGACTTAGTTTGATATAGTCGGTGGGGCCAGTGGCATGGAACAGCACTGCATTTTCCTGTGTGGTACGGAACTCCAGATAAATGTCTCCCGAATGACCCATATCGAAGGGCGGCAAATTAATGGAAGCATCAGCTATGCGGAACGTAACAACATTGCTAAACAGATCATCGCCCTCACAGCGCATGGGTCCCAGTGTATAGCGGCCATGCTTCTCATCTAGAGGCGTGCCAGTGTCACCGAACTTAACCGCACGCACAGGTAGATGTTCCTTTTCACGTATATCTCCACCATCCTCCATCCACTCCAAGCTATTCGAGTCGCAGTTACACCACTTGGTAGGATCGTGACATTTACCCAAAATGCCGCACTCGCATTTGCGCGAACCAGGCAAAGCACCAGCCCAGTAATCCATGGGCTGATTGTTGCGCGAGATCCACCAGGAGAAGGGACGGAAATTACCAGCTTCAGCTATGCAAAGAACATGTAATTAACACATATAGGAAATCTTAAGAAAATTGTAAATTATATTTACAAGGCGAGTTGAAGAGACGCGACGAACGACAGGAATAGCTCAGACGCTGCCAGCAGCTGTGTGAACGGTTGAGAAGTGCTTCAATTTGCAGCTGGTTGGCATCGTACATGATGGACTGCGCAAAGGAGCCAGGCTCCTGGAAGCCATCAACAGTGGTAGTATGCTCCTGGCTGTGACTCAGTGTGGTAATAACGCGACCATCGGCTAGCGATTGAATGAATTAGATACGGATACGATACAGAAAGCAAAGCACACAAACTCACAATAGAATTCGCAGGTAACTGGGAAGGGCTCTAGAGGACCGCTGCCATCTACATCGATATTCAGGTTAACGCGCTGCTGCACATGTTGCACATTCTTCAAAGCCTGACAGGACAAAGGATTGTTGGCTATAAAGACAAAATGAATGAGTTGCTAGTAGATACATAAGAGCCTTGAGTTCTTACAGGTATGGCATACGGCGCCCGCGTATCCAGTTTGTGCGCAATCGCAGAAGAACTCCATGCTGTTTTGATGGCAGACGCCCTTGTGCTGGCAGGGATTTGGATTGCAGCGATCAATCATTTGACAGGCATCGACAACAACCTCATCGCCGCAGCAAACCTCCTCGCCCTGCACCCAATCCTGAGGCAGCTTGTAGTTACCATCCACAGAGATGAGCCGCATGCAGCCAACAAAGCCATTCTTCTCCTTACCGCCAGCTATGTAATACAATCGTCCAGTGGCTATCTGCAGATTCTTGGTGGTTGTCATTGGACGTTGATCAATGTTCAGAATTAGACGATTCCGCTCAATGGACAGTATAAACGAATGCCATTTGCCATCGTTAAACTGCTCGTCATAGTTGTCCAGAATGATGCGAGCCTTGTCTTTGGCTTTGAGATCAATCTTAACCTTGCCAAACTCCAGAAAGACTTTAACATAGCCACCCGAGTAGAAGTCGTGATGTACCATAACGCCGCTCTCCTCGTAAGTGCGGAAGTAGAACGAAATATTCAAGCGCTGCGAGTTCTCATAGCCCTTCAGGCGAACATACGAGCCGCGGGTCGTGAACGTAACTGGATAAATGGGAGGCGAGGGGCAGGCGTATATTGTATTAACCTTGTTATACAGATACGCTTCTCCTAGCTCATAGCTTTCCTTCATGGTTCTTATAAAATTGGTCGAGTTCAGATAAATGTTCTCCAAACAGCCCGAGAAGTTCTGCTGCACTATGAGACCTTCCTGAACATTGGGCACACCACCCATGTACAGCTCTCGATTCAGATTGAGTCGACTAAATTCGCCTTGAATGCGACCACGCACTATGACACGGTCCACTGAGAAGATGATATCCCTGCGATTGCGAGAAATGACAACATCGTGCCACACATTGTCGTCTAACAGACTGCCCACCGAGAGCGAGGTCATAATGCCCGAGCCCAGGTCAAGATTCAGCACCATCTTATTATCCTTCAGCTGCAGAGCATAGTAATCGCCCTGTGTGCCGCGCGAGTACATCATAACACCATTTGCAAAGGCAGTCTTGAAGCGGAAGCGTATGGACTCCTGAGACGAGGCAATGGGCTCACGGCGCAGATCATAGCGCACCAGTCCAGTGCCATTGAAGTAGAGGTTGTCGGAGACTAAGAGCAGACAGGATGTAGATTAAATATCTAATGTAGCTGATACAACTGGACTTTACTCACTATATTCACAGCCATAGAGCTCGACTCGCATTGAGATGCGATCATGCCAGCGCGTGGGATTGATGCGCACCCACTGCGCAATGATGGGCACCTCAAAGACATTGTAGTGTATGGAATTGCCATCCGTATTGCCCTTGAACATCTACGCAGAAATAAGACTCGAAATGAATATTAACAAATCTAACAGACAACGAGGCAGCCCGTTCAAAGTTAAGTTTACTTTTTCTTTAATTACAATTTAGTGACACGTGAGTTTTAGCTTAGTTTTAGTATTTGTTGTTAGTCAATATACCTGCGGCTCGCTCGTGGGATTCACGTACGATCGCCAATATTCGCCATCATCCGAATATTGTACAATATATTCCGTGACAAACTCATCTGTGTGCATGCGTCCCATGGTCGCGAGCTTACGGACCATGTGTGCCCCGCCCAGATCGAGTGTTAGAAAGTGATTATAGGTATTCTCAACGGGCGTCCACGCAGCGTTACCTGCACCAGTTTTACAATTCAAGTTAAGATTAGGATTAAGATTAAGTGAGGCAAACAGTGGGAAGAACTAAACGAACCAAACCAACACGAAGTATTAAAACATGCAAACAAATAAAAGCAAATAATACAGCACAAATGCAAACAAAACAAAAAAAAATAAAAGGTTAAATATAAAGGAAAATCTGTAAAAATGTGCAGCTGCCAACCAGCCACCACCACCAGCACCAACATTGCCACCAGAAGTAACACACACACAGTGATTGGATTAGTGTCATATGAAGTGGCGGGTGGTTCGCGCTTACCTTAATATTACCGCCGGGTTCTTTATAGTCGGCAAATTCGAGATCTGTGATGCCATAGCTAATGGTATACTCGGTCACATATTCATTGCTGTGCGGGCGTCCTTGCAGCGCAATGTGCGTGACATTCTTCACCAGACCCAAATCAATAATCAGACGTTGATCAAAGTCCGAGCTCTTGGCTGACCACGAGGTGCCAGCTTAAGTATGGAATGTGGGTGAGGGCGGAAGGTTGGGCCATAAAAATTAACGATACATAATTTAAAAATGAAAATGAAATGAAAACAAATGCAATTCAGGGCTGGGGTTTCGATTAGCCATAGACAAAATGTTGCCCGCCAATTAAGAGGACATAATTTAGACCGATTTCGTTTGACAGCTGCAAGTGCTACGACCCTATATAACCAGCAAAGGTCCTTCACGGCAGCGGCAAGGGTAAGAGCCAACCCTCGGCGCAAAATAAAACAAAACAATTCGCATAGGGGTGTTAACACTAAAAGGACATGGGCATAAACAATTGCTGCATGCGGAGATTTCGCTTTTGTTTCTAACTGCTACACGCCGTGACCAAAGACTGTGTGAACACTCTGGCCATATATATGCATCTATATAGCATCCGATCGTCTGCGATTTATGTGAGCTAAATTGCGCTCAAGTTGGGCTCAATGCCGCATAAAACTTGCCCCATCGATAAAACTTCGGGCAGAACACAATAAAAATATATAAAACAAAAGTCACTGAACCTGGCTACCAAATCGCTACCCTTGCCAAGCCTCGTCCTGTTTGCATATATATATAAAAAACAAACAAAGTTGTCTGGCACATGTCTGGTGGCCATTAGAAGCGAATCGCGAGTTCCTACATTTGGGTTTATTGCCGTTTAAGCATATTTCCGGCTTAGCTCTCTGTTATTTCAATAGGTATATGTATGAGAACAGCTGCTTGCCACGCCAGCATGATTATCAAAATCATAAGTATATATATACATTTATTTTGGAATCAAAAACTATTAGAATTCTATTGTTTATGCGGCTTGAGTAGCGCCTTCTGGCAGTAGGCCACCACATCGGGTTGGTCGGCTTCGGAGCTTCGTTCGATCAGCTCCTCGAAAGATAGAAACTCAAATTTCGCATGCTCCAGTGGCAGGCAGTTACGGAATGCAATAGCTGCACAGTACTTGGGCGTTAATAAATGCTCTTCAAAATGCCATTGAGTCATGGGCGTGCCGTTGCAGCAGAGCGTGCTCCCACACAATGGCGAGGCGGCCTCCTCCAGCGGGTGTGTAGTGTCCATGGCAAAGCTAATCTTCTGCAGATCAACTGTAATGCCTACTCCCAACTCCTTAACATAGGATTCCTTTAGACACCAGTGGCGCATGAAGGCCTTCAGCTGCGCCCGCTCATTGTGCTGCGGTCTGCCTATGTAGCTCCATTCCTGTGGCGAGAATTTGCTCTGCATGAGGCGAAAGAATTCTGAGAGAGGTTTGCCGCCGTTGTATTCGATCTTCATGACATCTGCACCAATGCCGAACTCTGCATCATCTTTGCTGTCACCCTTAATACCAGCCAGCAGCACCAATTTACCCTGATGGGAGACATTGAAGCTGAGTGGGGGGCTGCTCGCCGTTTGCTGATCCTGCACCCAGTAGGGTTTGCCGCGCACATCTCTCGCGAATTGCACTTGATGGTAGGGCACGTTGCTGCACGTGCTCACAAATTTGCGCATTAACAGGCGACCAATTAACGAGGACAGAAAATCGTCAATAAAATGAAATTTCATCAGACGCTTCCGCTCCTCGGGTTGTATGGCAGCCACAGCATGAGTCAGCTGCGGAAGCGTGGGCGTCCATGTGCTTAAGTCGAACGCCCATCGCGAGCAGATGTGTTTGTTCATTGGTTTCGAGGTGCAAACAATATGCTAATGCCTTTTTATTCTATTAAATTGCAAAACATTGTCACCTAATTTCTCTTAATCAACTAATTTGCCAAGCGCTGCTTCTTCTTCTTATTGGCATTCAGCCCCAAGCGGCGACACGCAACGAACGAGTTAGCATCGCCGAGCAGCGAGTAGAGTTGTCAACGCTTCTGCTTTGGCGCTCATTTCAAAACAAAAAACTAATATAAAAACTAAAGATAACGATATACTAATGTATTAACTAATCAAAAGTCGAAGCAAACTAAAAACAATTGTAATAAAATTATATAAATAATCAACGACAACGAATGAAACAAAGAAACAAATAACTTTTTAACTAGTATTACTTACCATTTAAACGCGCCTTTTCTGGCCCACGTTCTGTCAGCGATGATGTTGCCGTTAGTACCGAACGCTCAAGCAATGGCTGATTGCACTCATAGTCGGAAAAATAATCGGAGAAGGAATCTGCGAAACAATGAGAATTCTTAGTATTTCATCTCTTATTCTTTCTTTTAATGTTTCGATTTTTTCTTTCACACGCTCTCTAAAGTTCTGCCCCTCTCTCTCTCTCTATAGCTCCCTTGCTCTTAATCGATCTCTTTATCTATCAATTAACTTTCGCATTGCCTCTCTAGGCGATTTTCATTGATTCAAGTAAACACGTACCAGACTGTCTTCCCGTCGAACACATTTGATTGTTCTTAAAAAGTTCGAAAAATTGGCTGTCTGACCCAAATTGGCTTATTGGATAAATTCTCGTATATATGTATATAAACTGTCACTGACGTAAATAAAATTGAGAAATTTCCGAAAAAGAAAAGTAAGTGATACTTGCTTGGACAGAGGCCAATACTTTTTGAGTTCAAGAATAAATTCAATTATAATTTTTATATATTCTTGTTCTTTTTTTCCGTTGGTCCTTGACTATAGCATCATGCGGCTTCTGCATGCTTATTTTATGAGCCATAAATATAGCTGGAGTAAGCAGGAGAAAAGTGTTTGTATATATAATGCAATTTATTTATTGCAGTGCAATTTGTTGACTCTTGTGTTATCTTCTATTTGTGTAAATATTTGGTTGCCATGACCCGACTGAAAAGCTTGGCTGCAATGGAAAAGTGCCCACTTAGACGTGTGGCAGCCGTGTGATAACAGGGCACGGAAATCCTTGCCTCGACAATTGTCTCTGTCTGCGTCTCAGACAACCCCCAAAGGTGGCGTCGCCTGTGTGGGTGCAGTTCCTGTTTAACTGTTTAAGCAGCGCCCCAGGCACACAGGAAAAACAACCCTTAGCGGAAAAACAAACTGTAGCAGAAGCAGGCTAAAAGAGTTCGTGTGTGCACTTAGTGTTTGACTTTAAAGTCGAACCTTCATGCGTTCTACACATAACTATACTTTGTTGACTTTAACTACCTTTTTAACTTTTCGATAAAACAACTTTTTTCTTGGCTAGAAATCTCCTTATTTGGAATATATTTGCTGCCTTAATCACATTCCAATTGATTAAATAACAAAAAAGTTGACACAAAACATTTGCTGCATAGAAAACTGGAAACTTTTTAAGCTTCTTAAGCACCCCGTGCAGCAACTCCCATATAAGTAAGCATAGAACGCACGAAACACATGGCAAGGTCTTTCAGCTTAAATTGTCGAAAAATGGGGTTGGAGCAGAGCACAAGCTTGCAGCAGATTAGCTAGAGTCAATCTTGATATATGTACATAGTATATACAATTAGGAGCATATGCCCAGCCCAGTAAGGAATATCCGTGACAGGTCGTGACAAGGAAGTAAACTGCCAACTGGAACACGCACATTTTGTCGAGAATAATCAATAGAGTTGAACCAATTTGGACTACTTTTTGATAGCTCAACTAACTCGAGTTGGTTTCTAACATTATGACCTAACTACATGCCAATGCTTGTAGTATGTTTATTATCAGTCTTAGACAAATCAGTTTACTGGTAATTACATACATATATATTTGCGAATAATAACAATAAAACGAATCTGGCTAATGTTCTCAATGATATATAAATATGACGTGACCGATATATTGAAAAGTAATTTCCGCCTGTTGAAATTTTTTGGAAGTGTGTATGATGCGAGCCTTGGCCGGCATATAATTATAAGCATCGAAATAAATTACCAAAGAGAATGCGAGGAATTGTTTATTTTTAGTCATAAAATGTTTGCATATGAACTTTAAATGTTTATTGTTGTTGCCAGCGCACAATTAATTACTAATGGGAAACACTAAATGGTGTAGCTCGCCTCTCTGAAAATCTTTACTAGGTTGACAGATGGTAGCAGCCGCCACGTGTTAGACTAAAGATTTACCTTGTGGCATGCGCATTGCAACTGCAACTGCAACAAAAAGCCGGCATAAAAATGCGTCCAATTAGATTTTTCAGTGCTCCAATAAGCACAACGAGTTAAAAAAAATAGGCGTTGTTTGTTGGTTTTGTTTTGTTAGCGCTCTTCGTACGCAGCGTTTTGGATCTCATCAAGCGGGAGAGAGATAGAGAGCAGAGCGCGGAGAGTGCTCGATCGTTACGTTTTGAAGAGCGAGTTAAAACCGAAGCACAAACAAAAAGAAAAATGGAAAATGACGAGTCTACAGCGTTTGGGGAACACGCCCAAAACTTGGCTTAGATGAATTTAAAGTTTTTCACATATTGAAATGATTCTTTTTCAACTAATCCGTAATATTTATTAATATTTCTATGCACATATTTTTACCTGCGAATGCGATTCCCACGCTGTTGCTGCACAGCAGCAAAAAGCAGCAGCAAATTGAAATTGTTGCCTGTGTTAAAGTTTGTTGCCTCATTTTGGCGTTTGTACTATTTTGAATCACCTAACCACTCTTTAAAGACACATTTATATTCAAATATTTAGTATTGTTTCACTGAAACTTTTCACAGGCAAACTACTTTTTTACTGTTGCAGCCAGCGGGACAATTTGTTTGGCCAACCCCGCGGCTCTAGCGTCGTCAATGTGAACAAACAAAATGCAGCCTGCGTTTTTTTTATTTATTTATTAGACTTTATTTTACTTCGTCTTCTCTGTTATGATTGTGCGTCCGCCCAACCCAAACGTGCACAGCGCTCCGTCGTTTGATTAAAAAATAATAATTAACGCTGCGACTAGATGACACACACGTCTCGCTAGATTCACAATGATTTAATAATATCGATACACCGAGCATTCTATACGTTATCGACTACAACCGAATTTCTAATCGATAGTATTTCACTTAACAGCATTTCATCGAATGCATTTTTGCGTTGCGCCGCTCATTTTTGCGTTACGTATAGGCATTCACATTACGTTACGGTCCCTTTCTGCTACGCCAGAAAAATTTGTTGGCGTGTTTGTCAGACGTTGCAAACTATTTTGGTTTTTGTGTCAAGCAGTAGATAGTTAAACAGTAAAAATGTACGGTGGTGACGACTTTGGTAACTCGGTAAGTGAACGCCACCTGAAACCTTACTTGTGGTGTATATGAAATAAGTGCAAGTCAACGGAGCTCCGGAATAACATAACCCAACTTTTTGCAACCCGCCATCATCAACAAAAAAAAAACAGAAAAGCAAAACTAAGATAATAAACTTTTATTGCAGGACTTCTACGATGATTATGCGCATACCGGCGATCCACAGTTAGATATGGAGTACGAGCGCACCTTCTACGCCAACCGCATGCCGGAGAATGTGAAATTCTTTCTCATGAACTTCTGCCAGGCGATTAAAGAGGGGAATCTCTATGACATACAGAATATGTATGAGAACACATTCCCGCAGATCAGCGATCATCATTTTGACAAGACCGCCTGGCCAGATGAGCAGGAAGTGGGCGCCGTTGTGGACAACGACAAGGTTTTTCTTATACTCTACAAGGAGCTCTACTATCGTCACATCCACGCCCGAATTCCGGGGGGCCCTAAGCTGGAGCAGCGCATTAATTCTTTCTTCAACTACTGCGATTTTTTCAATTTAATCATTTCGGCTCAAAATCCGGTCATGCTCGAACTGCCCGACATCTGGCTGTGGGAGTTGGTTGATGAGTTTGTTTATCAGTTCCAGAACTTTGCGCAATATCGGTGAGTTGGTGACTATTGTACAGCTATTGCGAGTTGTGCAGCTATTGTAGCCAAAATGTAATGTATAACCTGATTTCCATAGTGCACGCTTGACGGACAAGTCGCAGGATGAGATTCAGCAGCTGTGCGTAAATCACAGTAACGTTTGGAGTATTTTGTGTATTCTGAATGTACTGCACTCGCTGGTCGATATCTCCAACATAAAGAAGCAATTGGAGGCCATCTCCCAGGGCATCGATGCACAAACTGTGGCCGGCGACTTTGGCAAGCTTGCTTTTTACAAGATGCTTGGCTACTTCTCGCTTGTAGGTCTGCTGCGTGTGCACTCCCTGTTGGGTGATTACTATCAGGCGATTAAGGTGCTAGAGCCCATTGAAATTCACAAGAAATCGGCCTATTCGCATATACCCGCCTGCCAGATAACCACGTCGTACTATGTGGGCTTTGCCTACATGATGATGCGTCGCTATGCGGATGCCATACGCACGTTCTCCGACATCCTGTTGTATATTCAGCGCACCAAGCAGTTGTATAGTACGCGCAGCTACCAGAACGATCAAATTAATAAGCAGGCAGAGCAAATGTATCATCTGTTGGCCATTTGCCTGGTTCTCCATCCTCAGTGCATCGATGAGTCAATTCAGCAAGTTTTGCGGGAGAAGAATTACCATGATGCCATGTTCAAGATGCAGTGCGGTGACCTCGAGGTCTTCAAATCGTTCTTTGTGTTTGCATGCCCACGATTTGTTAGCCCTTGCCCACCGGCAGCCGATGCGCCTATGGAGGACTATGTCAAGGATCCCATGGAGCATCAGTTGCTTGTGTTTATGGATGAGGTGCGCCAGCAAAAGGATTTGCCCACTACCCGCTCGTATCTGAAGCTTTACACCACATTGCCACTGACCAAGCTGGCTTCCTTCATTGATCCCAATGCAAATGAGGATGATGTGTCCAAGCTGCTGATACGTTTGCTCTGCTTCAAACACAAGATGCGCAATTTGGTCTGGAGTAAAGGACCCAGTGGACTTGAGGGCACTTTCAAATCCGGCTCGGAGGTGAGTAATAATACAAAATCCCTATATCACAATATATTTAACACTCTTCTGCTTTATTGCAGCTCGATTTTTATATTGACGATGACATGATTCATATTGCTGATACAAAGGTCTCACATCGCTACGGCGACTTCTTTGTGCGTAAGATAATGAAATTTAACGACCTGAATCGCAAGCTGAAGAACATCAATATTTAAACAATTAAGCCCAACAGCAGTGTAATCGTACGTGAACTATATAAACATATATTCCATTTTGGATTGATTCAGTTTTGGTACCAATAAAAAAAAGAAACTTTAAATGCGCAGCGGCGCATCGAAAGGTCAAAACAAAATAAGATTTTTCTACTATCACAAATAATTTTCCGGAATTCCAAGCAACTTTTAAATTTTAACATTTAGTTTATTTTCTTTTAACAATACCATTTTTTTTTTTGTTATATAAAATTTATATTACTATAAGGAAATTCAATAATCTACTCCTAATATGTTTTGTGAGTTTTCTACAAATTCCAACAGATTTCTCCGTCAGGTGCTCGCAAATTTTGCAAATTCAGCAGCTTACATTTTTAGTTTGGAATGTGCGTATTGTTGTATAAAATTAAATTTTTCATATTTCGTACTCTTTTTTGTTTTATAAAACACCGTAAAAATTTCTTTGGTAAATTAACTATGCTTGTTTTTTAATATGTTAAATAAGTATTTAAGGGGAAAGAGTATAAAGTTATTAAGAGTTCGATTAAAATAGGCGCAGAGCTCGATTAGAAACAGCTTCTGCATTTGCACACAATTACAAGAACAATATATAAAATAAAATAGGAGAGTTAAGATATTTTTAACTTAAGATTTAACACACTTTATACACGAAACAACGCTTGCGTTTTTCACTGTGCTCCCATGAACGGGCTTATAGGCTAAACACTTAATGAAACAATTTACAAATTACGGACTTTTTTGTGTGGTTCTCTCGGCTAATCCAGCCAGCTAATCGACGTTGACTGTGCGCTGATTAACATCAATCAGATAGATAGCCTTGTGATTCTGCAGCACAAAATCAACAAATGCATTGATCGGCGCTATCTCCTCTAGGGAAGTGTTCGTGCGGCCGGACCACAAGAAATTCGGACCGAATACAATGGCCAGATTTGATGAGGTCATCTTGTTAAGATCCGCACAGTCCACGACTCGCACCAGAAAATCCACAATGTATTTGAATAGTTCGTAATTCTCTTCGGGCAGTTTTTCACGTATCAGCTGGGTAACGTTTCTCGAACGCTCCTCCTTGGGCCAGTCTAGGAACTTGGTCACATCATCGTACAACTCAAAGGTAAGCAACGGTTCGGCAAGGTCCCGTAGGAAACTCTTGAGCAGACCCGCTATGACATGCACATTAACGTTGCTTAGGTCGACATCCTCGCCACGGTTGACGCGCTCCTTGAGAGCCATAATCTCGCCATGATTACCGGAGCGTCGGAAGATACCCTCCGTATCGATGACGCCCGTGATCGAGAGCGAGTCCACACATTTGCGCACTATTGGCGGTATAGAATTGAGGCATGGACTGTGCATAACGATGAACTTCAAGGTCACGCCAAACTGCATCGTTGGCCGCCCATTGGGTGTTGCTGGCTGCGATGCACGGCCACGACTCGGATTCAGCTTATGATCGAAGTCACAAATGGTGTCCGGCAACTTGAGCTTGTTCAGGCCCAACGCCTGACGAAGCTCATCGAGGCTGGAGATGTAGACTAGCTTTTTGCGAAACTTATCGCTGATGAATGGACTGAAAAAGTTCCAGATGACGCGTATAAACCACGTCGGATGCACCACATACAATGTCTTTAGATTTTTACGAAAATTACGATCCAGCTCCTTGTACGAGTTCCACAGAAATTGCGCCGAAGGCTTGTTATCCTCCTTAAGACCCTGATGGAAGTAGACGAGTATGTAATCGTTCTCCACAAATGGTTCAATCTCTTTGATGACTTGTCTAATAAATAAAAGAAGTATCATATTTTAGAGTTTGCTTTAATGATATGAATTTGTTAAGATTTACCGCACAAAACCTTCGAGTTGCGATTTTTCCGGAAAGCGAGAGGCGTAAATGCCAAAGATGTGACGTCCTTGCTTATCGGTGCCCAAGAAGTCGCATTTGTTCTTGTTGCCCTGGGAGTTCTCTGACTGTTCGCGCAGCTGATCCTCAAAATCGTCCTCTAAGGGATTTGGTGGCTCTTCTGTCTCAAGTTCGGGATCTGGAAACGGATCTGCAAACCTTTACAACGACACGCCCAATTAAACCGAGCTTAACTTACCATCTGCTAGCACAAAGTCGCCGACCATAACATCTTCTGTGGAATATAAGACAAGTGTTTAGTCATTCATTCGTTCATTGTCTGTGTGCACATTATATGCAAATAGTTCTTACTCTCTAATGGAGTTGGGGTCAATAGCTCGGTATCATCAAACTCCAGCTTGGGCTCGCAGTCATGCAAATCGGATAGACTCGGCAGCGGCTCGTCAGAGTTACCCACAATTGAGCTAATGGCGGGCCCTTTGCATTGTTTGATAAAAGATAAAAAGAATTTATTAATCTCTTAGGGTTACTTTTGGAGTGGCTAAGAATTTCAGAGATGTAATCTTACAAGTTAATGCTTTTCACTTAAGTATTTTGTCGGCCTTAGGCAAGAAGTTAGTTCGGATTTGTGTAAGTGAATAAATATGAATCAGAAAGAATTTCATGAGTTATTTCGGAGGGGGCTTTAAAACGTTTCTTAGTTTCGATTTCAATTATTTACAAAGAGAAGACTAAGCCACACACAAAGTTCAACAATAAACAAATAGCAAACAGCGCAGCTACAAAACACAACTAGTTAAATTTTACGATTTGATGCATGTTTTATGTTGTATGTACGTTCTATATACAGTGAGAGATCACCTGGAATAGGCATGAGATATTATAGTAAATGCTCGATTTGGGTTAGTAGCACAAACAATGTTTGGGGGCGGGGAGAATGTTAGTCTAAAGCAAGGCAATCTTTACTTTTGGTTTACAGTTACAGCTAACGTTCAAATCTTAAGCGAGCGCTAAAGCATTCGAGACTCTGTTTTGTTAGAAAGCCAAAAAAGCAAAGGTAAAAACGTAAACAAATTGTTAACATATTTATGTTGATATAATTACAAACTGAAATTAAAAAATAGGTGCCTACTGACTGTTAGGCAGCTGGTCTTACCTGGTAATCGTGCTGGGAAACGTGAATTGGCATCCATTGCCACGGTGAGGGGTTTTTTATCGCTATGAGAAATTTTCTGATTACCAAACGGCGACACCTGGCAAAAATGAAAAAAAGACATTAAAGTTGGGTATGGTGGAATGTTGGATACTCTATTAGGAGAGATAATAGCTACTCTGTTTACAGTAAAGTTAACTTTTTGACTGATAAGATACGAATTTAAAATAGTGCAACAAATACATTTCTTTGTCAATTTGAAAATAAAATAAATTTATACTATAACATTTTAAGTCTGCTTTAAGTAAAAATGTACAGATATTTTTGTACAGTGTATTAGAAAATGTACATTTCGAATACATTAGCCATAATTGGGTGTACAACAGCTATTCAGATGACGTCACAACTTCCCGCGACTCTTTCTAACTCATAACAACTACAAGAACAGCAACAAAATGCTAAACTTGTTTCTTGCTCTTATCGCACGCTGTTCCCACCTCAAACGCCGCCTCTGCTGCTCCGCTGCTGCTGCTGATGTTAATGTTGATGAGCGCTGATTCATATTCAACTTTATCACCAATACAACAACGACAACAAAAACAATTGATTTACGCTGACTGGCAATAGGTTATTTCTTGCTTCGTTAAAGTTCAAGTCGAGCCGAGGCCGAAGCTAAGCACGCGAAGTGGAAAGAGGGAGAATGGCGGCGACGCCTACGCCCACCACCAAAACAAACTACAGTATTTGCATGTACATACATACATACACACAAATGCTTATGTAGATTCGACAAAGAAGTCTTTAAAAAGTAATTAACTTTAAAAAATTTTAATGAACTCTTAAAAACATAAAAACGGTCTTCTTTTGGATTTCCTTATATCATTATCAAAAGCTTGTGCCATTCATACTATTTTGTGCATTACTGTATCTGCATACAGCCATTAGAAAACATATACATTATGTGCATATGTATGTATTTATGTAAATGTAATAATTTGCAGTTTTTCGTTTTCGTGCAAATTTATAACGCACAGAACAGCATTAACAGGAAAAATTACTTATCATTTGGGAATTGCGCATTTGATAATACTTCTGACTGACACATATAGTATTATTTACTTTATTATTGTCAAAGAGCTTTTTATCAGCAACAGCGCAACGGCAAAATGAGATGAAAAGGTTCTTCACAATACACAATTCAAAAATTTGATTAGCTGACTTTGCTTCACTGTGTGTTGTTTAATATTGCGGCTTGAATATTTACCTATTTTAATGTTTAGTCTTCAAATATTCCAAAAACAAACTTGCAACAAAATTTTGAGTCCAGACAAAAATTTTGTATGTTTAGCTCTGCGCCAGAGCAGGGCTGGCAAGTACTAAAGCGATATCTTATGCTAGGGCTGCAGCGCTGTTGGTAATAATATCAGTTTTCAGTATAATTTTTATCATGTCAAAAACACATATAAGATAAAATGAGATGGTTGATTTTGAATACTTTAAATGTGTGTAAATTATTATTCAATATTGAACACAAATGTAACTTTCGTCAAGTTTCAATCGATATCGATAAAAAAAAACATACTAGCTACGCCAGCCCTTATTTTGACTGACCGACTGTTCACGTTATTTTGTTGTAAAGCACAATAGCGTAAAATTTCATAAAAATGGTTGGTTGGAGCCGTTTGCTGCTGCCAGCGGCACAATTCGCCAAGAACAGTGCTGTGCTGCTAACACCTGCCACAAGGAATGGTAAGTACAGCTGGTAACGTACTAAATGATGGTGTAAACACATCCAGCGTTACGCAACCACAAATGTTTTCGTTGTTATCCATTTTAGCTCTGCAACAGCAAATGCGCCGAATGGGCGGTGATCATGGACACCATCACATGACCATTAAGCCTTCACGCTTTCAGTGGGACAAATTCAAGGATCTAATGCACTTTTACGTAATGATTGGCGTGATACCGATCACCGCCGTGTTATTATATTCAAACATCTTCGTGGGACCCTCGCAGTTGGCCGAAATCCCTGAAGGCTACGAGCCCAAGCCTTGGGAATACGAGAAGGTGCTTTGAACTTGATCAATATTTTACTAGCTGATATTAACGTGATAGTTGCCATTTTAGCATCCCGTTTCCCGGTTTATTGCTCGCTATATTTTAAACTCGCACCAACAGGAATACGAGAAGGCGCTGCACAACATCTTTGAAGAGAACGAAAAGGCGCAAATTCGGTAAGACAGAGAATTCAAAGTACAGCGTACGTTATTAACACTTCCCTCCACAGCCTGCTCGAGGAAGAGATTCGCAAAAAGATGTCCGAACGCAATGATTACCAAGCCTATTATTATCGCCCATCTATAGCCAAATATCATAGAATATCGAAGGAGGCGGCCGATGAGCTGGAAGCACTGCGTGGCGACTAAGCCATTAGCTCATTTAAATCTTACTGAATGCAATAAATTTGTTTTCAAATGTGGTCCTTTAATAGACGTAATTAAGACCTCTCTTTGAGGGAAATAAAAATATGAAATTTATAAGATTTTTTCAGCGTCAACTCCTATACAATTAACATAACATAAACATAAACGTACACAAATAAATACTTATTTAAGTAGCCAGCTGCGTGTCGATTTTTAGCCCCACGCCTGATTCTTACAATAATATAAGACCAATTTGCCATTGGTGCCATGGCATTCGTACAAGTTTTTAATGATCTGATCCGGCGCAGGTGCAAATGTTTGATTTACATATAAAAACTGGTCAAATAAAAGTGGGAATTAAAAACTGGGAAATTTATGGAGAGCTGATCGCATACGTACGATTTGTTCATTGGCGTCAAGTTTGAGGAATTTGTGTATAAACTTTTGTATCCAACTGACTGTCTTATTGGGATCCACGGTCCATGTACGTTTCTTTATAATGGGCACATTGCCAGTTGCATTTAGCAAAACGCAAACTAAAAGCGATAAGAAATGCAATCATTTAGCTCTGAGCTGGTGTTAAGGAAGTAATTGCAGCATCTTACTCTTTGCTGCGTCCTTGTCGGTTGGTGTTGCAATGGATGTGGCTGATGTTGTTGTGGCAGATTGTGCTTCCTCCGTGTCCGTCATTTTTTGGAATGTTCTAAATCACGCTATTTTATATTTTTATTTTGTCTATAAATCAGCTCTGCATTTAGCACCCTTTGTTTTATATTTTTAGCCAGGGATGCAAGGGGAACCAAACTGGAACTAGTTACTTTCGGCATTTCAGAAATGCTAGTTCATTTTGTTTAATGAAACCAGTTGAGTTTACTCAACGAACACACGTGCTGGCTTTCTATCAATAAACATAAAAGAATTACCGTTTAATATGAGTAACAAATTATTTGATGGTTCCGACGACGATGCCGACGATTTACAGTTGTCCACTAATCAGGACTATGCCAACTCGTATAATGTTTTGCGCAAAAAGGAGTTGTTACAGAAGTGTAAACTACCTAAAGATCTTTCTTGTGCAGATCTCTTAAGAAATTTATAATAATGTTGTTTTATCGTAGATAAGGATCGTGGTCTAGACATCTCAGAGTCGGAGCTGGACAGTGATAGCGAGTCCTCCGACGAGGATGAAGTGGATGTTAAGTTTGATCAAGAGTTTTTCAAAACTCTCGCATCATTGAAAAGCAAAGATCCTCGCATATACGACAAGGAAACACAGTTCTTCAATGAAAAGGAGGACAGTGAGAGCAACGATGATGCGGATGCTCCCAAAAAGAAATCCAGCAAAAGCAAGCCAGTAACCTTGAAAGATTACGAGCGAAAAGTAATTTTAGAGCACAATGGCAAGTTTGAAAGCTCAGACGATGAACAAGAGCAAACGGAGAAACAATTTGAGAGGGCCCATTCGCCTACTGCTGTGGAAGAGGAGAGACGTCTAAAGGCAGAGTTTAAGAGCGTTATGAACCGTGAAGATGACGAAGAAGATGAGGAGTTTGGTGGTATCTTTAAGAAGCGCACCAAAACTCAGGCGCAAACAGATGCCGAGGAGGCAGACTTTGCTAAGTGGCTGGCCGGCAAGCAAGCGGATGCAGAGATCGAGGCAAGTGCAAAGCAACAGTTGGCTCCACTCAAGCAATACTGGAGTAGCAGCAAGCTAACCCAAGGAGAAAGTTTTCTACGTGACTATATACTCAATAAGGGCTATGCCAACACAAATGAATCCGAAATTCCTACCTACGATGAGATCGTGGGAGAGAATGAACCATTATCGGATGACGAGCAGGAGCTAGAGAAACAGGCGGAGTTTGAACAGAAATACAATTTTCGTTTCGAGGAGCCAGATACAGATTTTATTAAGCGCTATCCAAGAACTATTGAGCAGTCGATTCGTCGCACGGACGACACACGTAAGGAGAAGCGTAAAGAGATAAAGCAGCGTAAGGAACAGGAGAAACTGCAAAAGATGAAGGAATTGGATTTAATTAAGGATATGAAGCGCAAGGAGATTGAAGAGAAAATTCGCAAGCTAAAGGCTGTTACGGGCAACGATGAGCTTGGCTTTAAGGATGAGGAACTGGAAGAGGATTTCGATCCCGAAGCACATGATCGACGCATGCAGGAACTCTTCAATGATGAGTACTACGAAGTGGATGAGGGGGAAGAAAAGCCGGAATGTCCTTCAGATATTGAAGAATTGGCGCTTGAGGATTGGGATAACTATGATCCAAGGCAAAACAATGGGAATAATGACGAGGGCCATTGTGAAGATGATGATTTCAATATGGATTGCGATTATGATCCGGTCTCCTCGAAGCAACAGCTGCAGCAGGAGCTCATCGATAGTACATGGAGTCGAAAAGGTCGCAAGGGACGACGCAATCGTTTCATGGAAATGATTCAAGCTGAGAAGCCAGCGTTTAATCCAGATGATGAACAAACATATGGCGACTATATCGATGAATACTACCAGCTGGACTATGAGGATATAGTGGGCGATCAGCCGTGTCGTTTTAAGTATGTGGAGACCACGCCAAATGATTTTGGCTTAACGATCGAGGAGGTTAGTTAAGAAAAACGTCTTGGAAATATATGATTAACTTCTGTTTACTTTCAGATCCTTCTGGCTAAGAACAAGGAGCTCAATCAGTGGGCTAGCCTAAAGAAGGCTGTGCAAAATCGTCCAGATTATGTGGAGAAAAAAGAGCAACGGTTATACAAGATGAAAGCAAAAAACGAGGATCTTAAGCGCAAGATTTTTAAAAGCTTATACGGCGATGGGTAAGAAAATAAGCTAAAAATATAATCTTTTCCTAATACTATTAATTTAAATTTTATAGTTCTGAAGATGAAGAGGAAAGTGGCGCACAAACTGAGACCCAACTAGTTGTTAAAGCTGACCCCAATGAGCAGCCTGCTGCTCCAGTTGCAGAGCAAGTGCCCGCAGAAACCCTATCAAAGTCGAAGAGAAAAAGACTAAAGAGAAAAGCTGCCGCTGCAGCTGCAGGGGCATCAACAAGTGCAACACCCCCAGTGGCAGTCAAGAATGAGGAGCAGAAGAGTACAGAACTCATTAAAAATGAAGATTTAACAACTTCCGTTGAAATACCTGCAAAAAGAAAAAAGATTGACAACGATGAACAGGATAATAAGCCAACTGCAACGATTACGACGGCGCCAGCTAAAAAGAAAAAGATCGAGAAACAGGAACCACAAAAGGCAAAACAAACAGCTAAGAAAAATAACTCGAAAAACCCCTTTGCTAAAAATCAAGTGCCTAACAAAAATGAAGTCAAGCCAAGTGGTGCAAGCGGGAATCCTTTCAATAAGCAACAAGCTCCACGACAACAACAAACCACGAAGCAGCAGCAAGCTCCAAGGAAGCCACAAGCTCCAAGATTGCACCAAGCTCAATCTACAGGCACAAATCCCTTCAAGAAATTAGGCAACAAAAACGAGACAACACGTCCTAAGCGAGACTTCAAAGCCAAAGGTAAAGCGAATAGTTCTAATCCTAATGGCATCAGCGATGATCGGCTCAAGGCCTACGGCATTAATCCACGCAAGTTTCACAATCGGCAAAAGTATGGAAAAAAACCACAGTGAGCTGTCTGTAGAGGAAAACTTGGCATATACCATATTATATATGCTATATATTGGGCACTCGCTGCTGCGAAATAGTCTTATTATGTACATAAAACATATTAAAAAACGTTATACAGATACAAGTTAAAAACAATGCTTAAAGTGGTTGGGTTACGTGGTGTCAACTGGTTCGACTGTATCTTCAGAGTCTTCCGCATTATCATCCAATTCCATATTTGACTGTTTGCTTACATTACGTTGTAGCTGCAAGCGACGCTCCTGGATGCGAACACATTTCGGGCAGATCATATTCTTTCGGGTGAAGCACACACGATGGTAAATAGAATTGCATTGATCACATTTGACACAGCCATCGTCAAAGGGAAATATCACCTCGTTGTTGCTGCAGATCTCACAGATGTACGCTTTGGCTAGGCACATATCACAGCCACGTATATGTGCGCCAAAGATCTTAAAAACGCTTTGCAGGAATTCAGCTAAGACACCCGATTCAACCTGCACAAGATCGCCAATTGAGTAGAACTCATTGGACTGCGCTAAATGCCGGCGCCTGCCCAACTGTTGGTCCACGAGCTTCTGCTCAACAGCATCCTTGCAGGCAGCTAGATAGTGTCGCATATGTACAAGATTCTGGCGCAATTTTTTAACAGTGCATAGCTTCTCTAGGAATACAAACAACTTGGGATTCTCTTCCTCGAGTCGTATGAGCGGTTTGTCAATGAATAACTGGATTTCCTGTAGACCCGTGCGCGAGACTTTCCTCGGCGTAAAATCCCAGTTATGCACAATCCGCGCAGGCACAATGAAGCTATCATTCCAGTGGCACGAAGGGCAGTAGTAGAGACCGCGATAGTCGCACAGGCGTGGCTCAATCCAGGAATTCTCTATAAGAAGAATATGTGAATAATTGGTAGGCTAAAGATGTTTCATAGCTTACTGAAGTTAAGCAGAGTAGAGCATTCGGCGCATTTGTAGCGCTGCGCAGATAAGCCAATTTCTGGGCAAATATCGGCTATTGGATATTGCCGATCGGAGGCCAATACGTGCGCACACACACGCATTACGCTGTCAATGCATTTTTGGTGCACCAGATAACTGCAATCGCTGCAGATGTATGCAGCCTGCACCACTCGCCAAATAATCCCTGCGCAATGATCACAATAGTAGCGTTTGGCAGCTGCCTGCAGACGGTTGCGTGTGTTTGGATGATGTGGCACAAAATGATGTCCCACCACCGACTTGATGGCATTCAATACCACCACATCGTTGCTGGCCACCGCCTGTGCTTCTTCCAGCTCTTGCAGCGAATAGCGCAAATCCACCAAGTGCCGAACCAGCCAACGGCGCTCCTCACTACATTCATCACTCAACAGGACAAGATCGCGGCAATGCGCAATAGCTGCCTGTAAGTCTTGGCTGTTGGCATCGGAGGTGAATATCAAACGCCACTGTTCCTTTACCAGCGATGCGGGAATGGGCAACGCCTTGTAATCCGTATGCTGCGGGGCGCTCTCCTCGGAGACTGTGGAGCCTGAATGCGATGAGTGCAGATAGCTGGAAGCTGTTGATGCACTTTCGTTGACAAATTGTGCAACTGCAGTGGGTAAACTAGTTATACTATCACGCCAGGAGCTCATCTTGCTAACAGCGCAGAAAATAAAATTTATTTACTCCTATGCATTTACGTCTTTGTTTGGCAATCAAACAGTGTTGCCCTATTAAATAAAAGTAAAAAATACAATAATGTTGCTAAGCTAAAATTACTATATATCTTCTGTCATTCAAATTATTAAGCAAGTTGTCTGTAAATTTAATGTTTTTTTTATTATCTTATCTTTATTATTTCACAATCCAATGTAATTTATCATATTATATATTTATATTTTGGCGCACACTTTAACAGTTGCTGCAGTTAGCAGCTGCTTAACATAACAGTGGTTTAGCATAAGAGTTCTTGTTATCGCGTTCGATTTTCGTTCGTCATGTGAATGCCTTATATAAGAAGAAGCAGTCATATTTTTTTTAATTGCGAATTTTTGTTGGAGCGTGCGTGCAATGTAAATCGGCATTTATTTAAATATAAAAAATATATTTTCTGTGGCAGACGCAACGCCATCAATTAGCCCAAACACTGAAAAATTGTGCGCGTGACAACGTATTGGTGCTATTTTCGTGCGTGGTTTTTAACTCAACCACATTGCCGCTCGGTTAGCGACGCCGCCGCTGCCGCAAGTTGATGCTGCCTTTAGTGCTACATACAAATATTGTCTCAAAGAAGAAGATTAGTGCAGCGCAATCAACAATTGCCGTTATCTCGTCGTTCAGCGATTAAAAGATTGTCGCATTAATATTCACATCGGCCGCAGTTTCAACTTGAACATTATTGAATAAATGCAATCTCTGCCATAAACGCTCAGCGATTTAAATCAAATTCGTAATTGACACATTTAAAATACATATAAAAAAATCGGCTGTATTTAAAGATATACATTGTATGTAGACAGGTAAGTTTTTAAACCATACTGCGAGACGACCGCATTTTTCTGCAAGCATATGTGTGAGTGTATGTGAGTGTGTGTCTGTATGAGTGCGTAAGTGTCTGTTATGTGTGGGCCGTGTGAATGGTTGCTTGTTGATATGCGGCTCATAACCAACTTTTGATTTGCTCCTATGCTTAGATTAGACTGTGAATCTCCCTCTATTCACACCAATATTGACAGTTAGTTAAGCATATGTGTGCGTGTGTGCATCAGCAGCAATCACTTCACCTATACCAATCCGCCCTCACTCTTCCATTCATCACTTATGTGCATGTATTTATAGCGCACAGTCCATGTGCGTTGGATGTTTTTTGACACTTGTGTATGAGTGTCTAAAATACATACGTTTATATATGTATATTCGTTTCTATATGAACATTTGATGTCTCTTTTGGTATTTGTTTGCAGTTCTAAATTTTATTTTATTTCGCTATTTGGGGCAACTGAAATGCTTCGTTTATTGCAAGATAACAAATTACGCATAAATATATGTATTCAGTAGTATCTTATCATTAGATTAGTTGTCTAATTTGGTAATACTATTTGCTGCGTGGGTGCTTAATAAATATGCAGACATACCATACGTACATATGTATGCATTGCTATGTCCATGTATAAGTGTGCTTATGTGGAGCATAGTCGCCTATCGGTAATGACATATTTGTCATATCAACATGTGTTTTACTCTTTCCAAGTGTTTAGGAAGTACTTCTATTGCTCAACAATTAGTTAAGAGTTTTAATAATGTAGTAGACTTTATATATACATAGGCTTGATCTAGATAATCAATCAATTCGATTATGTTTGGAATATTTCTCTATTACTTGCGTACAATAAATGGGCTTTGCATGTTCTTGTCTACGCAAATTGATTTCATTTCAAATTCTTCGCAATTCCCTACATAAATTGTCCCATTTTTTCGAACATATTTTAATGATAAATGTTTTGGTAATTAGAATTTTGGATAATTTACATATTTCAAGCATTTTTCGCAGTTGAAAGGGTATATTCCATATACGTTATATAGAATTCTTTGAATCTTTTTCGCTATCTGTAAAAGTAAAGTTATTAAATATTAAACTTACGAACTGTTGAATAGAAAGCTCGAGGAGCTTGAGTTTATACTTTTGAAATACTTTACAAGAACATCTTGACATAAAATATCTAATAGTTTGCTATTCCAAACCAGATATAATTGCCTACATATGGTACAGTTACGGAACTGAGAGAGGTTTATCAATTGGCAATGGTCATGGAACACAGCAATTAGAATCACTTGCAACTGCGAATGCTATATAAACAAATTGGCTCACAAATTGTTAGTGCAACGAAATGAATTACATATTTTATACAATGCCTTTCAACGAACCTACTTTATCACCTGATCGTCCCTCGCATATTATCAGGAAACATTGGGGCATTACAATGCGATTGCCGCGTGATTCTCAATATAGATCTGAAATAAATTATTTATCGTAACGAGTAGCCCTTCAATAAGGTTAGTTTGTTGCCGTAAATCTGTATGGGATACAGGTACAGGTAGGCCAAGTGTATGTTTGTCAGAGTAGCATATGTCGTATTAAACTTGGACCCCCGTAATTCACTATTTACTATGAGTGCGGCGTAGTCAATGGACATGGGAAGGTCACTCCACATTCGACAAATGGCTTCGATAACACCAGGCCAAGTCGGTGACAGCGACAGCGGCAGCGGCTAAAGGCAACGTGAGCGGCACTCTAAGCATATATACTATATACACACATATATAATATATATATATCTCATTGTAAATCTTCAAGTTAGCTGCTATACAGAACATCTAGCTCGCCCATAAAGTTGATATACCCTGTGCTCGTATGCACCTTCGCTTCAGCAGTTGTGAATTTTTTAGTGAAACTAGATGAAGTTTGCTTTTCTTCATATGTTTTCCATTGATAAATATTTCTTTCCACTATCAGTTTGTTTTCTGAGTAGGATTGTGAGAGGTTCGATTGAGTATACAAATTTAATATGGCTCTCTATTTCAACTTGACGCTATCAATTATAAATTATAATAGTTCCAGTGATATACTTATGATTATTGGCATATAAAGTAAAGCTTTCCTATATTTGCTAAGTTTTCTCTGCATTTTGGTGTAATTTGTTTCGTGTTTAGCAGGGTATCGCTACGTCAGTCATTGCCTCATAAAGAACTCGCAATTTGTTTGTTCAGTCATATGAGTCGGCTTATGTGTGCTGTGGCCATATCTACCTAACAATATCATTAGCTAGCAGCTGAAATTTCATGTTGAGCTCTTTGCGCCAGTTGCAGTCGAACGGCGTTTTGGCTTGTTAGCGGCTTTTGCTGAGTGGAGAATTGGAGAATTGGAGATAACGTGTTACGTGAAACGAGTTGACGCCGCTGAGATCGTTTTGCGTGCCCGACGACCGGTAATGATATTTTCGGTCACATGTTTTGTTTGCTTATATTGTCTGCTTTGTTATCGCTGCGAGGCTTTAGGTATGAAATTTCAGTTTTCAAAAGTGCTAAAATGGGAGATTCAACGATAAAAAACGCATGACTCAGCTCTGAAGTTTATTGGCCCTGAAGATTTAAGTTACTTCGTGGAAATTATTTGGTTATTTATTCTGCCAGCACTGCAAAAACGATCAGCAGTGCTTTTTCTTGATATTTGAAGAGCCTGGAATTTCGAACTGTTGAAATCTGAAGTTGAAGTTTATGTAAAAAGATACGTGAAGATCTAAGATAGCTTAAAAAAAATGATATATTTGTTATATGATATATTTAGGTACTGGACAAAACTATAACTGGGTTTCTACTACAATTCCTTCTTCCTTCTAAATATGTACATTAATCATGACTACTCATCTATACCTCTATATTATACCTATATACTATGTAGTCTAACTATTTGCTTATATCTCTAAGACAATCAATCAATTTCTAGTGGGGATATTTCATTAGCCAACTTTATTACCATCATTCGAAATTGACTTTCACCACGCATTAAAAGTGTACTTAATGTTCAAGTAAAAACGTAATATTTTAAAAATTTTATATACTAATAGGCCTTCTAGTTTACGATCGATATTATTGAGCAATATTTACATAAAGGTTATATGTAAATACTTATATTTATATATATTATTTTTATAACTGCAAGTTATATTTTACACTCCGGTCCAGTAGAGCACGTCTCATTCCCTCTTTTTGATAATAGAGTGCTCCAAAAGATTACCAGACGGAAACTGGGCGCGACAATAATGTAACCGATCAACAGAGAGACGCGACCCACACATACATAATGGAAAACAATATAAAATACAACAAGTTGACTATATAAGCCCACTGACAGCGTCGCGCGTTATTCAGTTAAGTTTTGTTTGAAAGCGCGTTCAGAGCTTGGCCCAGTAGCTGGTGGGTATGCGGGTTGTAGTGAAGCTAAATTAGCCATATTATATAAAAAGTATATAGAAGCAAAACAAAACTAAACAAAAACTCTAAACTTCTTATTCAACAAGCAGCTCTTAATTTCTTTCAGTGTTTTATTATGTATGTGTGGGTGACAGTGGTGCAAAAGATTTGAAATTATCTATAAATAATCATATTGAATATTACTTTTAAATTATTGTTAAAAACTCAATTTTAAATTATTACTACTCGCAGTTTCTCTCAGTGCGATAAATAACAGTGACAAAATGTATACAAAATTAAACAGTAGAAACTGCAAATAAAATATTTAAATATTTAATAAACTAATAGAAACTCGAACGAACTTCTCATTTTTATCAGTGTAATTATGACAAACAAGATAAAATTGTGCAAAATCTATTACAAATCTCACAGAAAGCAATGCTCAGACTGCGCTAATGTAATTGTAAAAACTTCGATCTTCAGCCTATCAATTTCTCTCAGTGTTTTAGTTGTGTGTGTGAGTCTGTCATTTCATGAAAAACATGCAAACTGAATTTAAATGAGCTTTGATTACAAATAAACAAAAAACAACAAAAGCAACAACCATTGGCGGTCAGCACTTGACCAATTGACTGAGTAGTCGAATTGATTGGCAACGGTAAATTGACAAATTGCAACAACAAAAAGCGAAAAAAAAAAAGGTAACATCAAAAACAAATTCAATTTTAATAATATCGAAGAAAGAGCACAAAAAGCTTTTGCTGTGAGAAAAGTCTGTCGCTTATTGAAGCTTGGCTACTATTTTGAGTATTTCTTCTGCTTTTTTATATTTTGTTTAATTGATTTTTATTGCCATATAATCAAGTTGCTGCAGAGTTTTTGGCCTGGCAACAAGTGCACGTTCGACTTCAACCTTTCACCTTCAGCCTTGCCTGTGTCGCTCGTGTCGCTCGTGTGTCCTTGTCAATGGACAAGTGCAATGGCACGCCCACCTGCCACCCCCGTGACCTTGACGCCATCAACTTTAATGCAGCAGCAGCAGCAGCGGCAGCGGCAAACGATGACGTTTCCATTTTATTAGGTCGATGATAGTTGGAAATTGCGTAGGTGCAAAATACGCCTAACCGTAGTCCCACGCTAACCGTAGTTCCATGTACCGTAGTTCCAGGCAGCGCGCTAGTCATAAATATAGTTTGCCTAAAGTTTTATCAATAATTGGGCTGCTTGCCCGGTCGCCCGCTCATCGGCTCGTTTGCAGGAAATCAAACTAATTGTCTGGTAGCCCACTCAGTGCGCAATTGCAAAATTGTTCAAATGGCAGCAACAAAAATAACAACAACGAACTAGCTCCAGCTAGTTAAGGCAATAACAAAACAATTTTCAGCATTGTGTTAACTTATTTATATACCTTTTATACATTCAAAATGCATATGAAATAGAGGGTATAATGATTTGGCCCATTCAAATTAAGTGGCCAGCACCATAAAGTATACATATACTGGATCACGATCCATTGCTGAACAGTCTATGTAGAACTACTTTCTATTTATGAATGTGTGGATCTTGTTATCAATAGCCGAAGTGTTGAGCTAGTCATATAGAGTATATCTACACAAAAGAAACAATTGTTTTCAGAACTTCATTTATTTTAGCATATCTCTCTTCAACAGTAAGCACACATTTCCGCCAAATTTCAATAAAGTCGGGCAATCACAGAACTTTCAGGGTATCTGCTAGTCGATCATTTGCAACTAAAATACTTGTTATTTCTTTGTTGTTATTTTAGTTTTTGGCGTTGCGGCAACGTTTTCTATTGCTCTTGCCATGTCTTTCACTTTTGCCACGCGCCAAATGATTTTGCATTTTGTCTAGTTGCAGCAATTGATGACGTCGACGTCGGCGTCGTTGGTAGGGGGAGGTGTTTATGACTCCCACACCTTATATAATCACAGCTCGAAGCTAATTAACTTGACTTTCGTGTTGTTTGGCAATTGCAGGCAATGCATTAAGGTGAAAGTCGCTTAGCTAGCAAGAACAGAACTTGACTTGAGTCCGTTTTCTTGAGGTTCAGATAAAAGCGAAAATGTGAAAGAATATCTCCATATATAGCAAACAAATGTGCAGTAGTTAAGCCTTAAAAGCACATTAATGTAAATGAGTTAAAGATTGTTTAAGAACCATTAAAGTGCAACTAATCTGTCTTCAAGTAAACTTGTATAAAAATCTTGTGCGTTAAATTTAATTATAAGCAAAAGTGCCTTTCATGTTCGACTCACAGATCACCTGTGGGCAGTGACTAGAAACAGATAAGGATTAGATTTAAGATTAGCTGTAATTTCTTTCCATTCTCCAAGTTGTGTATATATTATCTGATCTTAATACTAGTCTATATATATTTATATGTAAGCGTGATTTATGTCTCCTTTAAAGTTCTTGCGGATATACCTGCTTAAAGCTGAACACATATGGCTAGCTCAACTTGTCGCTTGTCGCTGATCTAGAAAACATCTACTTTATGGCTATGGTGAAGCCTTCCACCGACTGTCACTGACTATAACTATATAAAGAATAGAAATATTAATTGCACCTACACAGAACAATTATAAGCTGCGATTAGAAAACACGTCTTAAAACATTTTCACACCTACTTAAAAATGATTGATTGGCTAAATATATGCCAAAGTAAAGTTAAATTGAGTTGAATTGGCAGCAAGAAATGCAGCCACAATGATCCATTTAAGGCTACAGCTAAAGCTGTCGAGCAGAGTAAGTGTGTGTGCGAGTGTGTTTGAGTGTGGCATAACAATATGTGTCCATATTTGGAGTCCTCATCAAGTGGCCGCCAAATGAACTTGAACTTCCGCTGGTTTGTTGGGGCTGTTCGTTGTTATTGTTGTTTTTTGTTGGCTTATGCAATGGTCTTTGTAATTTGCGATCGGCACATGCGTAATGAGTGTGGGGGTATTCAATGCGTCGTCTAACGCGCTTCATTGAGCCGGCCAACAGTTAGCTAATTTCAACCATTTTTTTACTTGCTTTTCAATTGCAGATTCAACCAATCGCTGGAATTGCTGAATATATAATGAGCAGAGCGGGCCATAGCAAACGCAAATAAGCCGGACACACAAGTCAGCAGACTGAGCGGGAGAGGGAGTGGCAGCGCGATCAGTGGCATTAGAAGATTTAACAAAAATTAGCATTAGGCATTCAAACATTAAGCAGTAAACATCAAGCCGAAAATGGCACGACATATAATGGCCGTCTGTGTGGTGTGCCTGCTGTGTGCACAGCGTTTGCATTGCCAGGATCATGATGTCGTCGAGCTGTTGGCCACGCAGCGCACAGAGATGAAGCTGAATGCACGTTTAGCCAATGGAAATCTAAGTCCATCCAGTGAAATAACCACCGATCAGAGGCAGCTGGCCGATGAGGATGATACCCAAAACTATAGCACAAGTCCGCCCTACAGGAGACATAAGCGACACGCAAGTCACGAACATGAGCACGCGCACGAACACGGCTCGTCGCAGAGACATGTCCCGCAGATTACACAATACTACCTGCAGCAGTTGATGAAGCAGCAAGAGGTATTTAATTCCAGCAGCTTACGTAGCCTCATGCAACAGCTCGGACTGCAGCAACTAGTCAGCAGCAATGATAGCGTAAGTAGCAGCTTTCTTTAAATCAACTTACAGTCTGTATAAATTATCTTCTCTCTCTATTTTATAGTGTGTGCCAGTTGAACGCTTGGTGCATCATGTGCAGCCGCATGATCTCAGCCATCTCGGCGATAAAGCTGCGGAGCACCCACTGCTGTTGACCAACTGTACGCTAACACCCAACGGCACGAGCACCAGCATAGCCTGCACCTCAACTGACAGCACTGCACCACCTCATTCAGACTATGAGCTAAATGAACGAGAATTGATGCATCTGTGTCCAGTGCTACTGTACGAGCTGGCGGCCAGCAGCGGTGGCTGCATTACCCCTGAAGTGCTTGCTGATATTGATAAATTTGAAGCAAAACAGAAAGATGACATATTTTATGGTAGGTGACGAGAGAGAAAATGTGCATATTGTATACCCTATACCCTTGATAAAGCTTATCAAAGTATAGCGCATGGCTGAAGTCAAGTTTTATTGCGTTGTTATTCAAATTGACATCACAAAGATGACATTTTTTATAGTAGCTGCCAGATGAGAGGTGTAGGAAAGGAAGACAAGTTGTAATATATAGTGAATTATTAGCGAGTAATGTAGAAGGATGAACGCTTATAGAAAAAAGCTATATAAATCTAAGTGAATTGTATTTGTTTATTTTTGTCATGAGATGCAATTTTATTTCAATTCTGCCATTGATTATATAAATAGTATCATCATATTTATGTGAGACGCTATTAACCTGTAGAGTTAGTCCATAACGTTAATCTCTTAGCTGAGTGTATATAGGTAATCTTAATTCGTCGTTATCTACAATGCTATAAAAAAAACATTTCCCTTTCTATAAAGACTAGCGGACACATAGATTAATGATTTACATGTTTATATTTTACAGTGTGGATTTATGCGTTCTCTTCGGTGTTTGCGTGCGGTATTTTGGGTCTCGTGGGCGTGGCCATAATACCATTCATGGGCTCCCGCTATTACAAGCACATCATACAATATCTCGTGTCGCTGGCTGTGGGCACCATGACTGGAGATGCGCTGCTCCATTTGCTGCCACACGTAAGTTTAAAGCAGAAAAATTAAGTTCTCTACTAATAATTCTCTATATTGTTTAGTCGCTGGCTGGCCAGGACGAGCACGGCATGATCATGAAGGGTTTGGGCTGTCTGGGTGGCATTATATTCTTCTATGTCACGGAACATGCGTTGACCATGATATCGGAGTGGCGCAAAAGCGTTGAGAAGAAGGAAACAAAGAAACCATCACGCGCCAAGGTGATGCGCGATCCTGACTCATCAGTTAACAATTCTGTGGCTGGCGACAAAATGTGCAAACAGAAGTATAGCTCTTATCCGTACTGCTACGATGAGATCACAGTGAATAATAAGCAGGATGTGTGGATGCATTTGCCGGACGAAGGCACAGGGTCAGGTGTGCCAGCTGCATCTGCAGCTGCGGGAGCTGGCGGTGATGCGTCCAGCGGTGAGTGCAGCAATCGGCTCTGTGACAAGACTGAGAATGAAGGCTCGAATGAAGCGGCAGCGGCGGCACAGTCGCTGCTCTCTACCTCGCACAATAACTACGCCGAAATGAACCATCAATATCCCAATCACAACCATAACCATCATCAGCAACCGCAGGACAGCAGCAATACGGCAACAACTGAATTGGACGGAAACACTGGAACAGTAAATGGAGGCAGAGACAAGAATGATCATGTGACTGTTATATTACGTGAGCACGAGTCATCCCATCATGGTCACAGTCATCGCCATGGACACGTGCATTCGCCACCAGAGACGCTGAGCGCTGTTGCCTGGATGATCATTATGGGTGATGGTCTTCATAACTTTACCGACGGTATGGCTATTGGTGCCGCTTTCGCTGAAAACATTGCCGGTGGCTTCTCCACCTCGTTAGCTGTCTTCTGTCATGAGCTACCGCATGAGCTGGGCGACTTTGCCATCTTGATGAAGGCCGGCATGTCAGTCAAATCGGCTGTGTACTATAATCTGTTGACGGGTGTGCTCAGTTTCATTGGCATGATCTTTGGCATTGTGTTTGGACAATCACAGGATGTGGCTCAATGGATGTTTGCCGTGGCAGCGGGACTCTTCATCTACATTGCGTTGGTCGACATGGTGAGTGTTACCAACTGTGATCTTTGCTGGCTAAATCTTTGCTAAACTTTGGATATTCTTTTTCATTCCTAGATGCCGGAGATTTCGGCTGCTCACAAGTCGCTGACACAGTTTTTGTTGCAGATACTAGGCATGCTGAGTGGTGTGATCATTATGCTATTCATTGCCATCTATGAGGGACAATTGATGAACGCGTTCGGCTCAGCGCCCGCCAGTGCAGTGCATCATCAGCATGTTCACTAGAAGGACGAAGGAAGAAGAGAGGTATAGAGAGCGAGCGAGAGAAGGGGATCCACTGTCTTCAGAGCCAAGCAGAGAATCTTTTAGCGTATTATGTGTATTTTTCGAGCATAGGTTTTTATAGTTTTTGTATAATTGTAGACTCTATGTTATATATATATATAATTTACCTCAGTCCACACTCAAGCACACAGTTTGACACATCTACATGCATCAAAAAGAGACAATGCAAATCATTAAGTAATAGACCCCCATAAGATTCGCATTTGTTAAACAGTTTATGAAACACACACGAGGAAATTTGTTAACTGCCACTGAAACGTTGTCTGCAAATTGAATTTCGTTCCTAAATGTCTCATAAGCCAATTTGCGTTCGTTTTTAAATCAGTTTGAATTGATTTATACACACTCACATACACTCAACACACACACATTTAATGTAAGAAACTTTCAATGTGCATAAGCTATAAAGTGATTATGAATTTAAAAAACGATAAAAAGCAAAAAATCTTGCTTTAAAAAAGAGATGAAATTGAACATAGAAAAAAAGAAAAGAAAAGAAAAACACATGCAAAATATTCAAATGAGAAACAATAATTGAATTAAAACAAAGGCGAGCACTGATGAATATGATATAGCCTAAGAAATGCATATAAACGCTACATACATTAAGTCTTTAAAAAGAAACCCAAACTTTACGAAATTGCGATTTCATATTGTAGCGTGTATATTTTTTAAGGCAAACAATTATATACACATAGATTTTTTGTATTCTGTAGTCTTTAGGTCCGCACGTTCAGAAAAAACATTCGACTAAGCAAGAGAAATCTATACCCGTTATATATATATAATAACAATATATATATATATATATATATATATATATATATATATATATAAATATATATATATATATATATATATATATATATATATATAAATATATATATATATATATATATATATATATATATATATACAAATTATATTTAGTAGTACTTAACGCTATGTTTTGTGCTACTTTTTGCAATCCACAAAATTATTTAAACTTAATTTATTGCCATCTTAATAGGAATTAATAGAGCATGCTCATATTACCTTCTTCTTTTTTGGCATCGAAGTTTACGTTCGTTTAGTTTTTTATGTTGTAATAAACAAGGTTTAAATACATTTAGGCTTATGTTTTGCTAACAAAAAAAGATATTTTGTGTTTTATTTTTTGTTTAAATGCCACCTACGTTGACACCAACACACACAGACAACTAAATGTAAGTGATTGTGATTGAATATTGAATTGAGTAACTAACATTTGTAAAATGATGGAAGAGTCTTGGATACAGGACTCTGAAACAAATACCCAGAACATTTTCAGCACAAAGCTAAGTATGACATCTTTATTAGCTGAGCAAACAATAAGCCCACACTAAATGCTAATGAGGCAGTAAAACCTATATATACATATATACTAGTCGTAAGCTCAAAACTAAACCGTACTATAAATATGACGACATTTTTCAAAAAATTAAAAAAAAAAAACATTCTTTGGTGATATCAAGCAAAAGGCAATTGAAACGAAATAAACTTACGAGTATAATAATAAATTTAAGTCTCTATAAAGAAAACGCATTCATTATGAACATTCTTAGATGTGTACAATGTTCTAGCAATGCACTTTCACAATTTCACTATTTAAAATTTCCAAATAAATGTTTTCCACATCATAGAAACTCCCTAGACATGCTTTAATTTGAAAACGCGCGCGCAGTACTTTCGAAAATCGCACCACTGTTGCAATCGATAGCTTTCGATAAGCCAGTTTCTATTTATTTCGTGTACCGACAGCTTGGCAACTCTTTGTATGTTATTGGTAGAGCAGGCCAACAATAGTGGCGCTGTCAAACTGTGAAAGATGCCAGCGACCGGGTCGAAATTACTGCTGCCAACAATTTGCAAATTTCTGGCCATTTTCTGCATAATTATTACACAGAACAATGTGGCTGGCAACGTGAATCCCACCGCCATCGGCGTGCACAGACGGTTTGAGTATAAGTACTCGTTTAAGCCACCTTATCTGGCTCAGAAAGATGGGACCGTACCGTTTTGGGAATACGGTGGAAGTAAGTAAATGGAAGGGGGTCGCAGCTCCACGTCAGTTGTTTTGACCACTTGCGCAGCATGTTATGCGTGCGAGCGAGACAACAAAACGGCCAGCATCAGACAAAAACTACGAACGACGCAACGCAACGCTAAAGCAACAAAGTGTACACGCAGGCACTTTGTTTAAATAAGAAATTGTGAATAAACTAAGCGCCACCTGTTGCTTATACATTTCAGATGCCATCGCCAGTGCGGAAAGTGTACGCGTGGCGCCCTCACTGCGCTCACAGAAGGGTGCCATCTGGACGAAATCACAGACAAACTTCGACTGGTGGGATGTGGAGATTGTGTTCCGTGTAACGGGACGTGGACGCATTGGTGCCGATGGTCTAGCCTTCTGGTATACGACAGAGAAGGGTGACTATAATGGTGCTGTGTTTGGCTCCTCGGACCGTTGGAACGGTCTGGCCATCATCTTTGATTCGTTCGACAACGACAACAAGCACAACAATCCTTACATCAGTGCCGTCGTAAACGATGGCACCAAGCAGTACGATCATACGAATGATGGCGCAACGCAGTTGCTTAGTGGATGCCTGAGAGATTTCCGTAACAAGCCCTTCCCCACTCGTGCCCGCATCGAGTACTATAACAATGTGCTCACCGTGCTCATTCACAATGGCATGACGAACAATAATGATGACTACGAGTTGTGTCTGCGCGCCGATGGAGTGCAGCTGCCCAAAAATGGTTACTTTGGCGTTTCGGCGGCAACTGGTGGCCTGGCCGATGATCACGATGTGTTCCACTTTTTGACCACGTCGCTGCATGCTGCGGGCCAGGTACAAGAGCCACCAAAGGTCGACAATCAGGAGAAGCTGACGCAGGAATATCAGGAATACCAGGATAAGCTGGAGAAACAAAAGCAGGAATATAAAAAGGAACATCCAGACGAAGCGGTAAAAAATCTAATCAACTTGCGCCACTCAAGTCGTGTGGCTATAATGCCATAAATTGACTGCCTAATCCACGTTGACAGTCAATTGTGTGATAGACAGGCGTTATCTGCGACGCTGATAATACGTGTTGAGCTAACAAGGCTTTTCATTTTACAGCACAAAGACGATGAGGAATGGGAAGAGTTCTACGAGTCGACGAATCAGCGTGAGCTGCGTCAAATTTGGGAAGGCCACCGCCAAATCGCTGAACATTTACGCGAACTGTCACGCAAGGTGGACGAGATTATTGGGCGTCAGGAGAACACACTCTCTCTAGTCTCGCGGGGCCTGGCTGCCAATGCAGGCCAAGCGTTGCCTCCCTCTGCAGCTGGACAAGCAGCTCTACCACAGCTGCCTGCTGGCGTCGGCGTCACACGGCAAGACGTGGACTTGCTGGTCGCTAATCAGAACATTTTACTTACTACCATACGGGAGATACGTCAACTTGCTGGCGATATCAATGTGCGCACTGATAATATACAAATAAATCAGAAGAATGCGCCCACAGCGCAAATTCAATCCACAGGCTACGATGTACAAGCATTGATAACCGAAATGCGTGATGGCATGAATCAAGTGAAGCAAGGCATCTCCCACGTGGGCCAGAGGTTGGTTGTATTCTAAACTAAAGCTTATTGCAGATATTGCTAATGCTTACTAATGTTGCTAATGTTACGTCTCAATTACAGATTGGGCATGCCACAGGCCTCGGCCCAGACAGCGTCTTGTCCTACCGGCAGCTGCGTGGGTGTTACGTTGTTCCTAAGCGTTACAGTTGTGCAATTGCTGCTAGTATTTATCTACAATATATTCAAGTAAGTTGTGCAATTAGATACAACAACTGCTTCAACTAAATTTACAATTTATTCATCTACAGAAACCGCAGCGAGGCGCAAGCGAAAAAGTTCTATTAGGCCTTCGGCTCAACTAACCAAAACAACATCTAAAACGAACACTCAGCACACACACACACCTGACTAGGCGGCAACTGAATTTAGTTGGAATGAAATACTTAAGACTTCAGCGTAGTTTTCTCTACACAATATTATATAATTGTTTGTTTTACGTAGACCTAATTGATTGAATACCGCGCTAAGGTCCCAACAAAAAAAAAAAAAAAATGATATGTGACTTAATTTGATAACACAAAAAACTGAACAAGTAAACTAGAACAATGAAGAAGCCTCATGACAAAAGCCACAAGACAAATTTCATGCACTTCTAGTACAGAATCTAGTAGAGCTAACCATATCCATAACTCTATTTTTCCTCTTCCATACATTGTGTTTGTAACCTATCTGTTTTTTCTTAGCCAAGTCTAAAGTTTCGGTCTACACTCAATAACTGTGCATATCAGACGTGTGCAGCCGCATTTCAAAGCAGAAAAAAAAATATGTAAGGAAAAAAATATAAAATGTAAAACCTCTATGAAATAATAATACATAATGAATTCCGTAAATTTAGCCAATAAATACTTCATGTTTTTGTATACATTACTTGTGCTAATCGCGTCTGAAACGAGTCAAGTTGAAATTGGCTTCAAGATCTTCCAAACATTCATAAATTCTCCACTTAATGCGACTTAACAAACGAGTTTTTTCAGCTTTTTTGTTACTAGCCTGAAGATTACCGAATGTGATGAATGAATGATTATCACACTTTTTGTTTACTTTGCATTAGACGTGTTTTTTATACTGAATATTATATAATAATTATAAATTATAATCGAAATGAGAAACGTGTTTTTTGATATGTTCCATTCCAGTCTCAATGTTTAAAATGAAATAAAAATAGAGAAAAAATCGAAAATAAATTTATAGAAAACTGTACGTAAATATATATAAACCGACTTTTTAATTGACTAGGAATATATATTAATATATTGTTAATTATTATATATATATGTATATATATAGAGAATTTTAGTTCCTAATGCGAACTTAAGGTAAATAATTTTCGTTAAAATAAAATTTTAGAGGCAGAAGCTGTTACCTATATATGGGAGCTTATATATATTCCTGATCAGAGTTAATCTAGCTCTTTGCTAATAATTATTGAATATCGAATATCGAATATCGATCCCTTTGTAATTGAACTTCAATTTTAGCGACGTTATATATATATATATATATATATATAGATCAGTAGCTTATATCTCTATATATGTTGAAAATAAAAGACAGAAAGCTTGGCTTTATATATTTATACATATATATATATATGTAAATATGTACAGAGTATATAAAATTATCAAAAAGCTAAATAAAATTTGTATTTCCAGACAGAATGGAGTAGTCAATGCGAATTACCATTCTATCAAAATATATAGGAATATATAAGTATAATCATAGCTTGAGACTTGCAAAATCTAGTCTCTTCTTCGAGTCAGGGTATCTTCAAGTCGCGCTCTCCCCACTATAATAGTTTTATTTTTCTGTTATGACAGGGTATTAAAAGTTGTTATATTGCAAAAAGTTTCGATACTGCGGCAAAAATGGCGCCACTTTGGCGCATTTGCTGCCCAGCAGTTGGGCGAGCGGGCGGGTTGAGTGGCACAAAAAGTTTTCCCATAAAATTTTACTGCCATTGGTCGCATCTCGAGGCTTGAGGTTCTACCCAGCCGAGCGAAAAAAACCCCAGATCCAAAGATAAATGGACAGAAGCCAACGGCAGTCGGTAGCTTACATGATATAAATATATTTTTTTTGCTATCCCCTTGGTTGGGGTTCGAGTCTGTTTGGATGGCAGCTGCGGTTGCCGGGTACATAGAGTCAGGCGCTTATATAAGTCCTGCGCATATTATGTACACGCAGCAGCAGCCAGACATTGCGCAGGACCAGTAAAGCGTATAACCAGGAGGCAGGGAGTCATTCCCTGACTTTTATGTTTTCATAACAGCCAATCGCAGTTGGCCAAACGGGCGTACAAAATGGCCACGCTTTGTGCTCTGAGTGCTTCGCCAAAAAAATAATAATATTAATGATTTTGCAAACCTTTAGAGCACAAATAAACTTAACAAAAACTGACTGGATTTTTCTGTGGAATAGGGTTTTCTTTATATCTTAAACTCTAGTATAATTCTAGATTAATTTTATAACAATTGAATTTGAAACAATTTTCATCATTTCTAATTTTCAGAACTTGCGAAGTGGAATATTAATTGTTTCTGCATTTCGTGTTAAGATTTTTCGCAAATTTTTCAAAATCTTGAATTTTTATTGTTCTAAGTTCTCTCGTTATTCATAAGGAATAAATAATAGATTGACTTATATTCCAATTGGTCAATATCATATTTCAATTTTTCGTATCAGAAGTCTAAGAATTTTGGCGATTGGCATCTTTTTGAATTCCAATTTGCTCAAAATGCAATTTAAAAATATATATATATTTTGAATTTCTTTGCTTTTACTATAAGATCATTGCACTTACTATATTTTTTCTTTAAAATCATATAATCTTTTTCTTTGAGTAATTCCTTTAACCTCAACTCCCAGTTTGATTAAACTTCTGCTTTGATATTAGAAAGTACAAGAGCTCGATCTATAGCTTCATATAACTAAGTGAAACTTAGTGAAATCTCAAGCGATTTCAAGAGGAATACCATCTTTACATTGGTTCGCTTCAATATATATTTTCTAATCTAATTCGGAAATTATATAATCAATTGGAATGTCAAAAATTAGTATAGAGAGATGGAAACTTAATGTCTAAGTCAAGTCATGTCAAGTTCAAGTTTCCATAATTCAGTTAAAACTTAACCAGTTTTCATGAAGAACAGGTCAAGATATTTCCTCCGATTTACTTGAAGTCTTTAATCCCTTGTATGATGCACGATGCACAGTTTCGTAGTTCGACATAACTTTAATAATCCGTGGAGCGAGCATATTTCGACATCTGTGGAGTTTTCGGCGCTTACCACAATCCATTAGTAAATGAAATTCATAAATTCGCAGCCTGCCACCGAGGACAGTTTTTGCAACATTTGCCAGGATATAAAATCAAAGTCAAAGCTAAGCTATCACAATGTTGCGGGGTGGATGGATGCTGAGTGATTCTCCTTCATAGATGGTTAAACTCCTCATCCACATTTACATCCATCCAGCCTTTGCGTGACAAATGTTGCGCAAACAAATGGTTATTGCATTGCAATGGGTTTCGGGTCGAGCAAAGTTTTCCAGTTCCCACTCAAATCTCTGGCAATGAATCATAAATTTCCATAACTGTCAAGCGAAACCGATGTGGAGGTAGGCCCGGGATATATAGCATAAATTCTGGATTAAATATTTGTTGCAATTTGTTAAAGTGAATTGGACTTTTTCAGATTTTTTGTAATTAGCTAAAAACATTTTGTAATTAAGCTTGGCTTGATGAAATTCATAATTAAACTGGAAGTTATGGATATAATTTATATAAAGGTTATATATTATTATTAAACAGGGAATTGGGAATAGTAAAAGCTGAAGATCTCTTTAAGTACTGCAAAAGTATTGATTATCTAAGTTTTAAAAGAATGCAAAGATTGTTTAGAACAGCTACATAGTTATGTAAGCTCTCTTGCTCAGCTTAACCTCAATAAGCATACCTAACCTCAATACGTATATATTATATTCTCAATTTGAATTTGATCTTTTAAGTATAGAATTTTATTCAGAAACCGATCAATCGATGAAGTAAGTACTTAGTCTGCTCTATGCATTCATATCTAAGTGCAACTGCATACCTAACCTCAAAAAACAATTTGTTATATAATATATGTACAATATGAAAAGATAGACAGATCTAAGCCCAATATAACCAAGCAAACCTTATTTCAGTAACATATCTGTTCCAAGAATTCCTTCCCTTTCCTTTAATTAGTATACCAGGGAGATTTTGTTAATCTCCTCCCAAGTAGCTCCGTTAAAACCTAATCAATCTATGTAGCCTCCGTTCCCTTTCCACCTCTATATATGAGAGCATTGTGTGGAAAACCCTGACGTTGGAAAATGCATCACATGCTTAATGTTTCTCATGCCATTAGATTCGAATGCCGGAAAAGCCAATGACAAAAGGCTAGTCCATTAGATATGTGAAGGGCGAAGTTCTACTCCTCCCCGATCGGCAGCCTTTTGCGATGTTTGCGAAAAACCAGAACAAAATTTTTCGAAACTGGATAATATTTTGCGCTGCTTGGTATGACGAATTCACATGTCACACTCGAATCGAATGCCAGGACAACTACTGTTCCTCCTGCTCCTGCTGCTCCTGCTGCTGTTGCTGCTACACATCCGTTTAGCGGGCAATCAAGCGTGTAGTGCAATTCAATAAGCGGATGCTGGCTTTCTCTCTCCCCCCCCTCTCTCTCTCTCTCCTTCTCCCTGTCTGTTCTTTTGGAGAACTTTATCAACACCCATGTCGGCATTAGTTTTGTTTACAAACTTTTCCGGTTGCCTTTTTGACAGCCAGCCCTCTGGCTTAGGGTGGCTCACAATTGCTACGCTTTGGGGTGGCATTTTTATTTATGACCACTTAAATCGAAGCGCAAACTAAAATTGCATTTTGCATCTACATAAATATGCAATTGCGGCCATGTGAAATTCAGAAACGCGCTCGCCCGCTGTTAAATGCTGACAAAAATTAAGAATAAATGCGAGTGACTCCCCAGCCCTATTCCAACTCCCAATTCTAGATGACAGCTAGCGATAATGCTGACATCAATTTGAGACTCAATTGAGCTTGGGCCTCAACTTGTCGTTGTCGTTGTTGTTGCTGTTGTTGTCGCTGTTACAAGTTGTTATTCGTTGATAAATGTTGCGCTATCAGCGACGTTTATCGTCCGAGGGACCTTTTCACTGGGTGCGACAAGTCAGCGAATTGGAAACTGTTTTTGCCCCCAACCCCTAAGGTAATGAGGGTGTACTATCCACACACATGTGCGACGTTGTCTCGCCTCATCTCATCTACGGCCAGCGCCTCCTCCTCCTCCTCCTCCTACTTCTCCTCTCAGCTCATCTCATCTCATCTCATTTCTGGGGCGTTGCGAGCAGTTACATGTTAAATGCTTGCTTAATTGCTGTTTTGTCTCTCGTTTAAGAGCTGACCGAACTGATAAATGACCCAGAGATAACAGAAAAAAATCCACTCTTCTTTTCATTTCATTATATAGATGGTATAGCTGACGTGACAGTTAGTTTATTTAGCTATGCAGACATGGATAAGTTGCCTGTCTGTGGTTGATACCAAGCTTTTCCTTTTTAAATTTGGAATGGTTTTTGTTTGCCCAAAGCCTTGTTTCCTTAAGATACTAGAAGCTATTCTATGGCCTATGCTGATCCTCTGATCCCTAATCCTCCTTCTAGTTTTCTTGACAGATTTGTAAAATTTTTTTCTACAAAATTAGGGAATTCGAACTACAACCTAATCATGAGAAATTCCTAAACAAATTTTTATAACTTAGCTCAAGTTTTTGATATCAATTTTTCTCTCACATATA